CACGAATCCTGACCGCAGAACCTCATTATTTTCTGCCATCTGGTGTGTCCATTTTTCAATATCCTGAGTCGTAGTATTGGCTGGGAACTCAAGCTTGATCCAGTTGCAGTAGGCTTGAGGGTTGATGGAAGTCTCGGCAAGCATGGAGCTCTGCAGTGGTGTACACCACTGCACGCGTTCGGTCCCAGAAAGCACTGACGAGAGGTCTGCACGCCACTCGAGCAAGCGGGTGAGATTGATCTCGGATGGGTCCATAGCGTTGTTCTGGGAGCCTGCTTCGTCACATCTTGCCTTTGAAGCCGGTCTAAGTATGGTGCACAAGGCTGATATAGTCTTGGATCCGAGAATGTCCGTTGCCGACGCTTGGAATCCGCTATCCCGCAACGCCGAAGCAAGCTTGATGGCCCTCAGAGAATCAACACCCGAAGATGCAAGTTGCGTTGACGCCGAAACCGGAATACCTAGTAACTTGGACACAATCGCTGCCACATCTTGCTCCATTGGATCCGCCAGTTCTGTGTGAGACGCAGTCTGTGACATAAGTCTAGTCTCATACTCACTCCTGAGCTGTTTTCGGTTGACTTTCCCCGATGGTAATCTTGGGAAGCTGGTCCTGACAACCACATCTCCCGGTACCATGAAGGATGGTAGCCATGTTCGACAAGTATTGATGACCTCTTCCGCTTGATCGCCTGATGTTGTCGAAGTGTCGTCGACGGCACAGAATGCAACAAGGATGCCCCCAAGAACCATGGCGACGGCGCTGTGGCATCCTTTGGTTCGCATAGCTGCTTGTTCAATCTCGCCTAGTTCGATCCTTTGACCGCGCAGCTTAACCTGACCGTCGGATATCCTCCCAAGACATTCCAGGGTTCCGTCGCACTTCATGATGGCCTTGTCTCCTGTGCGATAGACGCAGCCATATGGGGTGTCGAGAAATGCGGATTGCGTTTGTTCCGGCCTATTCAGATAACCGTTGGCTAGTTGATGTCCTCCGACAACAAGTTCACCTGGCTCGCCCCGTGGGAGTACACTGAACTCATATGCATTGCCCTCTTCAGGTATCGAGGCGACAAAACAAGACACAGAGTCCAGAGGAAATCCAATATTCGAAGGAGAGGAGTCCCTGGGGTATTCTGGTCGAACAGTACTGCCTGACTTTAGTATAAACATAACTATCGACCATAACATAGACTTACCAATGAATCGCAGCTTCTGTAGGTCCGTACATGCCCCACAGTATGCCTTCTGACTCCTCGGCACCGCCAAACTCGCGAATCACAGACTCGGTCAACATCTCACCGATTGTCAGGAGCAACTTTAGGCAAGGAACATTTTTCCGTGATCGGAGAAGACTGCCGGCAACAGTTGGCGTCAATTCGCATGCGTCAACTTGCAACGTCCTTATGACAGCTGGCAAGTCATTGAGCATACGACCGCGATCGCAAGCGACTAGCGTGGATCCACGGAACAGAGGAAAGAATATTTCGAACACTGATACATCGAACGTCGGTGAGGCGAACTGAAGGAAGCGCTTGAATGGCGGAATATGTCGGTCGTGAGCGAGGAGGCTCTGAGCTGCAGCATCATGTGAGACACCAACGCCTTTTGGTGTGCCGGTAGACCCAGACGTATACATAACATAGGCCAGGCTGCGCGGCTCAGGATCGCGGAATGGACCATGTGTCGATGAAGCCGACTCGTCTACTTCATCTTCGTCCACTATTAAGACGGCTCTGTCTGGCTCGTCTACTGGGATCTTCGAGACCATGTCTCGACTGACAATCACTACCTTTGCCGAGACATCTTGAAGGATGAATCTCACTCTCTCGGGAGGGGCGTCTAGGTTCAAAGGGCAGAAGGCGCCGCCGGCTTTGAGGATGGCGAGAATCGCAATATAAAGATGCGGAGATTGAGGGACGAGAAGCGGCACCACAAAATCTTCTGATGTCGATGCCTTCTCTACGGAACGAATAATCCGGCTGGCCAGCTTACCGGCCGCGTGGTGCAGCTGCGAATACGATAGCAACGACTCCCTTCCATGGCTATCCAGGTAGTGTATCGCCGGTGGCGTGGTGTAAGATGTGCACTTCACGAGCTGGTGAAGAAGGCGAGGTCCTGGGACCCTCTCGGGATGGGGGTTCAATACTGAAAGCTCGAGCTCAGGCTCGAGGTCAATATCGGTCATGTTGACGATGTCGTCGAACGGTCAAGGTGAAGAGAGCCCCCGAGATGATGATGTGGTTCAATGGAAACCCTCGAAGAACTTTGTAGATCAGATGCGTAAAGTTCTCTGCTAGTTTCGGGTATTGCAAAGAGGTACTCACGTAGCGTATTAGTCGGGTCCTCTTTTCAACGGGAACTTGCACCACGGTCAATGCGCCCGGGTTCCGATCAAGATAGACTTGCAGCAAGAGGTCAAAGACACCACGCGCCTGAGGAGATTGTCGTCCAATAAGACAAGTGATGATTCACAAATCCGGTCGTGCAATGGCGTACCTCCTCAGCAGGGTGTTGTGCGACCAGCCAGGGGTGGTGCGAGGGGGGTCCTCACGCGGTCGGCCGCAGTCTGCCGAGCCTGTAAGATTGCAGCAATTACTCAGCTGGTGTGATATGTCGAGAAATTCTGCAACGCTATGCACAACGGCGCCAGAGTTTCGGGAGTCGATGATGAAATATGAGATCGTTCATTCGTGGATGAGGATGGCGTGGTGGTGCGAGACGACTAGCTCAAGACGACTCAGCCCTGTGCGTAGGGCTATCGGCAACCTGTGTGTAAGACTAGAGTGTGACAACGCACAGCTCGATTGACGAAGTGTCGCAGAGGGTGGAGAAAAAAGTTCGCCCTTCAAAGCAGAAAGATATGGGCTTCTAGTAATCTAGGCAATTTACTGTTCGCGCAGACGCGCGTGTGCGGGTGTGTGTGTGTCAGTGTATGTATATATGTGCGTGTGTGCGTGTGTGTGTGTCTAGCCGCTAAGGGAGAGGTTGTCAGAAGCTCCAACCGAATAGTCGTGCTGACTACGCTTACTTGCTGAGGTGGCCGATGGGGGCGGCGTCAGGTGTTGGTCAATTTGAGCAACTAGCACGCAAGGACCTGGTGTCTTGTCAATTAGCTTGGTCAGTTGTGAGTTTGGAAGGATTCCCATGTTGTCATTGTGCCATTCTACTATGTGACACATAATGGCTACATCCTCGCCAGACTGGGACCGGCCCTTCAGCGACCCTTTTTTGGGAAGGAAAAAAAAAAAAGCCTCAAAGGTCCTGGAGGGTAGCGGGGGAGGGGGTGGCCCAGAATCTGAGGTGAAAGGCATTTTCCGCGCTTATGGCGTCATGACCAAAAGAGCCAGCCCGTCGTGCCGCTAGGAACCTCGCCCTGCGTTGAAATTAACTTCGACAGACCACTTGGGGGCTTATCTTCTTTGTTCCCCCCCCGGGTCAATCTTCAGAGAAGCATGGCTATCTCAAGCACAACGAGAACGTACAGTCAGTCACAATGATGGTAAGCTTGTGCAGACATTCCCATGCCCGGCGGTGTCCCTACGGCGTCGAGAACAGTCCATTCTGCCCCAGACGCCACGCCAGATCCGGCATCGATGCTCATATGTGCTCGCGGCGGGTGGCCGATCTCGTATGACTACCGGAGACATGTTTCTAGAAGCGGCAAACCCGCCGAGTAGTCGCCTCAGAGGTTGTCGTTGATAACGCGGTTTGGAGCGCCACGATGCAGGGCCTTTTGGGAATCAACCACCATGTCCAACACCGAGCAAGCAAGCCATGGCTACCAGAAGAGGACATATGCCGGGCCGAGCGCTGCCTGTGGCTTCATCTACATCGACAGATGTGGCACACGAACGAAGCCTGGGTCGGCGAGACGGTCCGTAGGGAAGCGAGTGTAGCCCAAGACGGAGTTCCATCTGCACGGGTCGGCGAACTGGGCATGCATCTATGCCTGGCATCCAGAACCTCTAGTCGAGGAGTCTCGTCACAAGCCTGGGGTTATGTTACCAGTCTGAGCCGACCGCACAGGTATGTGGAGTGGCAACGTACGGCGTAGGTAGGTAAGTGACGGGACAATCAGAAGCGAAGAGGATGACCCAATCAACCCAGATGTGGGGGTTACAATAAGTCGAGGGCAGTGCGCGTAAACCGAGCATCTCGGACGTGTCGGGCGCTCCTCTACACCGAGACCAGGGCCGGCCAGCCAGAGAGCGTGGTCGGTAAGTGGTGATGTGATGGTTGGTATGCTGACTGTCGGATTCCCTGGTTTGGAATCGGCATCACAAGGGTCAAGAGGTGGTGGAGGAAAGGTGGATGTGGTTGTGGACGTGGGTGGATGTGGATGAGTGCCGCTGTGTGTGGTCGTGTGGTCGTGCCTGCCACGCTTGGGTTGTACGTGTATTCTGTTCGGGCAGGCGGGCGGGTGGGAATCCATGTGAAGAGTTTTTTTCCTTCCCACCTTCCTTCCCTGTCTGTTCTGTTTCTTGACTATTGCCCTGTTCCACCTCCTCCTCCCCTCCCCGAGCTGACGGAAATGACCCGTCTCGGGCAGGACCAGCCGCGCTATCCCTCTGACTATCGGAATAGGTAGGTAGGTAGGTAGGTAGGTAAGTAGGTGCCTGGCCTCTCGGTCTGTTCCCTTTCTCTTTTCTTTCGCCCACAAGTCGCTCCCTCTTGTTGTCGAGGACAATGCAAGATTCCCAACTCTCGGCTAGAACAGTCGTCAAGGCTCATCGAGGGTCCGACACTTCTTCCGTCTCATTCATCTCACAGCTTGACGCCAACGCGACGAGCCCGTACACGATCGCCAGTGCATGCCCAGCGGGCCTCGCCGGTTGCGGCGTACAGGTACACTGCCTTGGGTACACTAGAGCTAGCCATGCACAGCGACAGGGGAAAGCCTTGACACGAACACGGGCCGTGACATCGTTACTAGACCTCGACACATACGCCTTACCCAATTAGACTCGGATCTTATCAGATTTAGATAATCAGATCATCAGATAATTCGGACAAAATGTTGCCCCCAAAAAAAATCTGTGAAACCCGGGCGGGACTACCACTCGTACTAGTAGTTACCTGCCAAAAAGCGCGCTCGAAATTCCCTCAAGATAACCCACCAATGAACAGCACAGACTCCGGCGGTCCATCGGCCATCTTTCATGAGCCGAGGGGCTTTGGAGAGGCGTTTTCCCCCGCCGTCGTCCGTGTTCCTTCTTATCGCGGGCTCCGTCTGGCAATTCAGTCTTGAGGTTTTCCCATTTGGCTGGTACAGGAGAGACCGGCATCTTGTGCCGCATCTAGACGAATGCGATGGAACATTTAGATTGTGGTACCTCGTACGGGCGGATGGTCCGAGTCTCCCCAGCTGTGTGTACCCACATCACATCAGATTAGATCCATCACCACAACAAAAAAAAAAAATTACGACTACGCATCTCCTAGATGAGGCCAAGTACCTCATTCCGCTGATGACAGGGCTCGAGCTACTGCATATCGTGTAATCACCACTTGCGCGCTAAGACAAGGCTCCTCTCTCACTGCTACACTGTACATCGTACCATCAGCCTCTGGAACTGTTCAGTCGTAAGCCAACAGTACCCAATACTTCCAAAGGGTTTGAAAGCCACCCCCCTCCCCTTGACATCCATCTCCATCCCGAAGTCTTCTCGTGAAACCCTGGCCGCTTGCCTCTTCTCCTGCCCGCTCTCGGAGCAGAGTTTTGTGCGCACAGAGTCCTCGACCCATGTTTCTTAGTCATCTACCGCCTCTGCATCCCGCTCGCTCACTTGGCACCGGGACTCGCACACATCCCGGTTCTTCCCACATTCCACCACAACCGTCCGAGTCCAATGCAAAGTCTCCGAAGGCTTGGAACGCATTAGTAGCGCAACCGTTGCAGTCTACCTATCCCTCTGCCTTGCTTCTCTCGATCTTCCAGACATGTTCGACGCCGCAAAACATGATAGGGTTCCCCGAGGTGAAGCTAGCCCGGAATCGCGCAGACAATGCTGTTCAAGGTGTGCGCGCCGGAAAGGGAAAGAAAACATGGCATTCAAGGTAAGTACACACATACCTGCCATCCCTCCATTTTCGTGCCTGAGGCACTCGAGCTAGGCAGGTCGTCTCCATCCTGCTAGGCTCCTTCCCTTCATTGGACTCTTTCGACAGGGCAGGGGCAGGGACATGGGAGCTGGGATGAAGTTGGAAGGAGCGAGACCGTGAGAGATTTGATCTTATCAGATCCAAAGATAACGCCGAAATCGCATCATGACCCCTCCGTCCCCTCCCCCCCCTCTCGGCTCCACCCATCGTGCAAGAAAAAAAAAAGAAAAAAAAGTCCATCCTTGAATTTTCTTCACTCTTTTCCTTGTCCTTCGCCGAACCATCCCGCTCCTCCTCCTCCCCTGCAGCTCTCTTTACTGTTTTTTTATCCTCTCCCCCTCTTCACTTTCACACCGTCTCCCTCACTCGTCTTGTTCGTCGTCTTGCATACTTGAACGTCCGATACCTGCACCGCGAGCAATTGGGAGTGGGTCTCGCTAGCACCATCGATCTGCATCGTCTTGGAAATCGTCGGCGAGAAGTTCTCGTAAACCGTCGGCTTTGGGCGTTTTCCTACTGTGCGTCCGCCCGCAATGGCCGAGCATTCCCCCCCCCCTCCCCTAAGGTGCCATCAATTGCATCGGCATATCCTATGGTCTGTGGATCAAAATCGTCGGCAGTGAGCCACACGTCACACCCGGACGGCCGAACCGAGGCAACATTGGGGTGAACATGCCTAGGCCTCTCGCTATGCGAGGACGGCATTCAGAGAAACTTGACAGCTTCGCTAACACTGCGGACTGTAACGCGCTTTTAACTTACGCTGGAGCTTGTGTTGTCTGAATCTGTACCTGGCCTCAGATGAGCACCATATAAGTTTCTCGGGGACCAGTTAAGCATGCTTCCCCGCGTTGAGAAGCTGCTCGTACATCGAGCCGTCTTGGCCTCTTTTCCCCTTTGAAGGGTCATTGCCCCTTCATTCAGCCTTTTATGCCTCCCCATCCCTTCCGTCCGCTCCACTCCTGTGGTCGGGCACATGCAAACGACGCTCGCCGTGTCAAGCCCTGCGCACCGCCGCACGCCGCCGCTGATGCCAGACACCATATTCTGTATGGCTCTGCTGTTCCAACGCTCATATCGTCCTGCAACGGCTGGTCTGCTGCCCAGATTGCCGCTCTCCTCAATCAACGGGGACGAGCTTCAAAGGCCTGCCAATTATAACTGTGTGTGCACATAACAGCTTCAGCGCATCCCATCCTGGGCCAGCCATTGGTGATGCGTATCTCGGACACGGCCTCAGTACGTGGTCCCGGTCTGTAAGAGCCCGGTACCTGTACCAGTACCAAGTGCAGACCCAAACCCGAACGTGGACCCAGACCCTCTTCCAAGGGCGTCCCTTACTAGTGTAGCGAGCCCATCTCTGGAGTCAGCCTGTTGCGACTCTGTCCATGGCCCCGACCCCTGGCTGTGGAAAGGCATCCGCTGTGGATGGATGGCTTCCTGCTTCGAGCTCCTCTCCCATACACAACTGGCAAGGGTCCTGCACAGGCCTTGTCCGACAGGATCGCAGCATCGACCAAGTTGCCCCATTCGAGCAAAGAATCGGGTGTTGCGATTTGAGTAGTGTATACTCTTTCAAGTACCCATAGTGTCTAGCGGCAGTAGCTCTCGGCTTCGGGGGCCTGCAACAAGTGACGAGACCGCATGTACAGAGTACACTCTTACCCATCTGCGTCGTTCATGAGCTCCGAGGGGTCCAGTGGCCCAGCTTCGAACTGGTCGGTCGGTCGGTCAGTCGGTCGATCACGCCGACTCGATGGGACGCGAGCCACCGCACCTATTGGAGTCTGTCCGTTTTGCATATTAGCCCCCCCCAATGCCCCTCCACTGCCACTTGATTCTTCCTTCTCACGGTGCTTCTCGATTTCCTCCTCCTGCTCACACCTTTCCCCATCATTATCTCATCTCAACCGCCAATTCATACCGGTGGCTCATCCTCCTTATACCCAAAGTCCCCCAGCCGAGCGCCACTCTTCGGGAGTCGATGACGAACAGTGTGGCTTGAATCCGCCGTGGAGAGTAAGCTTCCCATTAATAAGTCACGAGGGGGGGAAAGTCTGGGACATTTTGGAGCAAGGAGAAAAAAGTTACAAGCGAAAACCCGCAATACCCCGCGCTCTTTCGCACCCGCCCCCCCGCATTCGCACCCGGCAGCGTCTTTTTGGAACCGTCCCAAAGACTCGCGGAACAAAGGTCAGTTGATGCTCCCACGCCCCCGAGATCCAGAGCATCTCGAGCGGCCATGGAACTAACAACTTAAAGCCCTCGCTCTGCCCTCTCGGTCACTCTGGCATTGGCATCTTATTTGCTCGATACGCTCGTCAAATATCACTACCCCTGCCGTCCGTCCAGATTGCGACTCACATATACCCGCACGCACGCACGCACGCACGCACGCACGCGCACAATACTTACTGTACGACGACCACCCACCACCATCACATTAAATACCCCACCATCACCACCACCGCCACCACCACTATCATCAATATGTCTCCTCACTGCGAGTCACCGACCGACGCGGGTAGCGGCTTTTCCCAGTTCAACGGCAATGGATTCACAAATGGCCACGGCAACGGCGCTGTGTACCAGAATGGCAACGGCGTGAACGGCCACCACTTCAGCGGCTCCAACATCCAGAAGTCTCAGTACCTGCAGCCATGCGAACCAAGTGAAATCCACGACCTCGTCTGCGTTGGCTTCGGCCCCGCCAGTTTGTCGGTTGCCGTTGCCATGCACGACTTCCAGGAGGCCGGCCGGCAGCTCTCCCCTGGCCGGTCGGCGCCCAGGGTGCTCTTCCTCGAGAAGCAGCCGCAGTTCGCATGGCACCCGGGAATGCTCCTCTCAGGCGCCCGCATGCAAATCTCCTTCATCAAGGACATGGCCTCGCTGCGCAACCCGCGTTCGCACTTCACCTTCCTCAACTACCTCCACTGCAACAACCGCCTGGTTGACTTCACCAACCTCGACACATTTCTGCCTGCCCGCGTCGAGTACGAGGACTACCTGCGTTGGTGCGCCCGTCACTTCGACGACGTCGTCGAGTACGGCCGCGAGGTCGTCTCCGTCTCCCCGGACCCCCAGACCACCGCCGGCGGCGTCAGGATCTGGACCGTCAAGTCACGCAACATCAAGACCGGCCAGGTCAGCTCCTACCAGACTCGCAACGTCCTGATCGCAACCGGCGGGCAGCCCCGCCTCCCCAGCGTCCTCCCCGCCAAGCACCCGCGCGTCATCCACTCCTCCCAGTACGCCCAGCTGGCCCCCCAGATCCTCAACGACACCTCGAGGCCCTACAGAGTCGCCGTCATCGGCGCCGGCCAGTCCGCCGCCGAGATCTTCCGCGACGTCCAGCGCGCGTACCCCAACGCCAAGACGTGGATGGTGATGCGCTCCGAGTTCCTCAAGCCCGCTGACGACTCGCCCTTTGTCAACTCCATCTTCAACCCCTCGTACGTCGACGAGCTCTACCCCAAGTCGCAGAGCTATCGCCGCGCCCTCATCAAAGAGGCCAAGGCGACCAATTACGGCGTGGTGAGGCTGCAGCTCATCGAGGCCCTGTACGAGATGCTCTACCACCAGAAGCGCACGCTCGGCACCGACGAGCGCAAGTGGCCTCACCGTATGCTTTTCGGCCGCGACATCACCCAGGTCACCGAGAGCAAGGAGACGGACCGCCTCCAGCTCCACGTCCGCCGCCTGGAGAGCGCCTGCGACGGCACCGAAGACGGCTTCGTCGGTCAGCTCCCCGGCGACGAGGTCCTCGACGTCGACCTCGTCGTCGCCGCCACCGGCTACCAGCGCAACGCCCACATCGACATGCTCCGCGACAGCTGGGGCCTGCTGCCCGAGGTGCCGCCCGCCGCCAACGCCGGCGACCGCGAGCTCGTCGACGGCTGGGAGATTTCCGGCCCCGACGCCACCTCGGCGTCGAGGAAGCTCGAGGTCGGCCGCGACTACCGCGTACGTTACGCCCCTGGCGCCGTGGCGCCCGACGCCGGTGTTTATCTGCAGGGATGCTGCGAAGCGACCCACGGAGTGAGTGAAATCCCCCTTCCTCCCTTGTCCCTCCTCATCTTTACATACACGCGGTTTTTTTCCTTTCCCCCGAGACATTCTCACTAACGATCCTTCGGAAAAAAAAAATAGTTGAGTGATACCCTTTTGTCTATTCTTGCCGTGAGATCGGCTGAGATTATCGACTCCATCTTCCCCGCGACTCCGAGGGCCAAGGCCGTTCCCAACTAGACTTCGACTTTTTTTTTTTTCTTTTTCACGCGATTACCTGTTTCAGGATTCCTCGTTGTCTTCTCATTAGAGAGAAAGTCTAAGTCTGACGGCTGTCATAAGCTCATGGTGATTACGAGCTTGCGAAAGAGAGGGGGGAGGTCAGGAGTTGTTAGTCAAAGGAATTTCGGGACGACGGACGGCTGACGAACATCCCTCTCTATATGTTTGGGCATGTATCTTTGCGCGAGTGAGTACTCTTCGAGTTTCTTTGGAAAGCTGGATTGAAAAAAGACATGGCGCGGAGTTTAGCTACCTTGGTTTATGTATGAAATCTTTCACTTTCTCTCCATGGTTCTGGTTGCTGTCCTCACGGGAAAGGACGCATACGTTTTTGCGATTTCATTCCAAGAGGCTGTCTCTTCTTTTTAGATTCATCATCCTTGTGCTTGTAGCTTGTAGTTTATGAGTAGTCTCCTCATTTTCTGTTTCATGTTTATATGGTATAGTTAGTACTATACAGTTGCATGTCGCTGTTGTCCATCCACGTCATGAGCTCCTGATACAACGGGCCGCTCTCGTCCATGGAGTGCAGCTGATTCGGCCCAGGTGAGAATGCTGGTTGCTCAGGCTGCCGAGAAACAGTTCTCGCGGGCGTGTTGCTGCTGCTGGCGATCGTTACGTCGTCAGGTGGAAGACCCGGCGATTTAGGTCCACCCGTGCGAGCTGAAGAGGCGCCCTGCCCATCTACGCGGAGGCGCTGGACCAGAGATTTGAGGTCCTGGAGAACCGTGGCACAGTCATGCCCGTAGTGGCTTCCGGTCTTGGCCTCCTCCTCGAACACCCCGATGGCGAACTTGATGTCGTCCGATTCTGTGGACGGTGAGACGAGGTTCATAGAGAGCAGGTCCTCGAGCATGAGCACAATGGCAGCGTTGAAGACGTAGTGCAGCCCCGCCTGGAGGAGTTTGCGGGAGCCTCCTGTGAGACCCAGCAGCCAGCGCGCAAGGTAAAGGTTCCGGTGGGCGGCCTCGGAGCACGTGCTTATACGACCCGCATGCAGCTCAGTGTCCCGGCGGCGGTCTGACTGAATGTAACGCTCGGCGAAAGCCTTCTTCACGGCGGCGAAGAAGATGGGGCGGACGACGAGAATGAGTAGCTGCAGATCCCAGAAGAGGGAACCTTGGTGAGCAAGGAAAGTTCTTGTTCTTTTGGGAAATCTGGGCCGAGTTTTGAGAAGGGAGGGGGGCTTGTCTAAAGATGGAGAAGGAGAGGAGGGAACATGTACACCCTAGTCTGCTTACCAAAGAACATGGAATGGAGCGGGCAACAGAAGGGAAAGGTGATTTTACAGGGAAGAAACAAGCTTACCTGATTGTATGCCATGTGCAGGAGGCAACATGCGGGATCGGTACTTGGACAGGTGGCGGACATCTGCAGGGTGGGAGGAAGCGATGAGTGCCAGTTGTCGAGCAGCTGCAGTGCTCGATCGACATGTCGCGCCGCTCCCCCCGGGCGGTGGTCCCAGGGGGCGACTTTATACGTGTTGCATACAATGTGGCCCGAAATGCGGGCCAGTAGGACGTGGGCTCGAAGGCCGGCTGCAGGGGGTAGGGTACTGCATAAGAGTTGGGCCGTTAACGTTAGATGAGCGTGTTCGTGGGCTTTCGGTCTCGCAGCCGATCGTTCGGAGGTGCCTCCGTGAGTGAGGGCCGACGTAAATGGATGGAGGATGGACTTACGGGGCATCGCATGGCAAGGGTAGGCGAATCGCATCGTCCATAATAGTAGGCGGACGGCCCATTAGACAGCTTAACCAACGGTCAAGGATGTACAGAGTCCAGAAGACGCGCTTGCCTCGCTCGTCAACCCAGCCGCGGTGGGCACCGTGCATGATGGAGATGTGCATGGCGTTGCTAACGTACATGTAGGCGGCGTCGCGGCGGTTCATCTCGATAAGGTAGAAGCCCATAAGAGCGAGCACGGCGACATCGCTGATGGTATACTGAGTGATGTCGAGGGGGTTGCCCAGGAGCATCCGGGCACGGGTAAAGTAGTTCTGGCTCAAGCCCCTCGGAATTGGCGCCGAGGCCGCGGTAGTACTGGCCTGGCATGCGACGGCAAAGGCTACGTGATAAAAGGCCAAGTGACGGAACCTGTGGCAAATGGCCTGGTGAGGGGTCTCGGGCGGCAACGTGACGGATTTCGGATCGACGGGCACGCAGTTGAGATCACCCCACCAGTAGATACCGCCGCACGGGAAAAGGCCGCCGCCGTCCTGGATAAAGTATCGGAGTTCGGAGAGCATGGCCGACATGTCGGCTCGGGACGGAAGGACAAGGGGGTCCGCATTTGACTCGACTTCGATTGGGCGAGAGTCGTATGTCTGATAACGCCCGAGGGAGGCTAGGAAGGCCGAGCCATTGTTCGGTGTGGGAGACAGCCACGGCTTGTTAAAGGCCAACGGTGAGACGGTTGTCATGAACTCTTTCAGGTGGTCAAGGAAGGTGGCGCCGGACGTCTCGCCGAGAAAGCGGGCCCTTCCATCTTGGTCCTCTAGCTGACGACCTTCGGCCGCCTCGGCCTCGGTGTCGTAGAAAGGGTTTTCGTTGAAGTCGTCTTTGCGAAAAGGTGTTGCATGCTGCTGCTGCTGCTGCTGCTGAGGCGGAGTGAATGACGAGTTGGAGCCAGCGCGAGAACCGCCAGGATCAGCATCATGCTGCAGCAGCTGCCGTCTGGCCGCGTCGTCAGGCACGGCAGCCTGCAGAGCGCGTTCAGTGGACTCCAGCTTCCTCCGCAGGTCATCCAGCTCATTTCGGGAGATGGAGATCTTCTCGATGACGGTAGGGTACTGGCAGTCTCGTGAGGAGCTGCGGCACTGACGGCAGGGTCTCTCTCCAGAACACTTGATTCGGCGAACGTTGCAGCTGTTGCATCTACGGAGATGGTTCGTAAACGAGTTGCGATGAGCCAGAGAGAAATCACAGGTGCTGTATATGTTTCTTGAAGGGGGGAAATGAGAGGAGCCGAAGCAACTTACGCTGTAGCGACGCGCTTTCTCTGGTCGGGCGCTACCTTGTGTCGTCGCGGGTTAACAGGCAGACGTGATGCACGGTTTGTATTTTCCGTCTGCTCTGGCTGCTGCTGCTGCATCCTGGTGCTGCGGGATAGTGAGGCTGCATGTCACCGCTTCGCCGAGCCGTCGTGCACGGAGTCGGGTACGGAGACGGACGTGCGGATGCTTTGAGGCTCTGTCTTGGGGGTGGACTTGAAGTGAACGGAGGGCGTATTCGTAGGTTTGTGTCTGCCTCTTTTCTACCGTCGTCGTCGCCTAGCCCTGCTGCTGGGCCGACTGCAACGGCTATGTTGGCGATTAGTGTCAGTTGGTTTGCCGCACCCCGGTAAACGGTAGCTGTTGGATAGCCGTGTCCGGTTTTGGGGGGCGGAATTGGGATAAGGCGACTGACGAGTCAGTTAGTCAGGAGGCGGGAAGTCTAAGCTACAACAACGATGTGCGTGTATGAGTGGCTTTGAGGTGAGACTTGGTCAAGCTAGTGTTTGATGGGGACGAAGTATTCGTGGGTATGGGCCGTCGGGCCGCTCGAGTCTCGCGTCGTGCGCCGGCGGGGGGTTCTGGATCTGAATCCAAATCTGAATCCGAGAGAACGTGGATGTGTTGTCGAACGTTGAATTCATCAGCTTGGGGAAAAGAATTCCGGGAACACAAGGCGTTGTTGACACGGGCAAGACGTGGAGAACGGGGAATTTGGGGACTATAGAGAGAAGAAAAAGAAAAAAGAAAAAAGAAAAAAACGTTAACTGTCGCAAAGAAAGGGTCCAAGAAGGGAAGGAAGTGAGAAACGCCCTCCTTCCATGGCTAGCGGGATGGGAGGGGTGGGATTTTTTGGTGGTGGCCGGAAGCAGCTCCGTGTTAGTTGTTTGCGTGCGCCGCAACGCAGTTTCCCTAACGCAGAGCTCTCCCCTGTCCGCCGCCGGGCTGGGGTGGGGGCCAAGAAGGCAGGCACCCCCAAGGTACCTAATTTACCTACAGGTAGGTAGTAAAATGGTAAGGTATTGGTACCTACATCTACCTGCCTTAGGTTAAATTCGGGGGAGGGGAAGAAGGTACGAAGGGGGGGTGGCTTACCTGTGCCGGTAGATACAAACCACTCCGCTTGTCAAATATGTAGTCATGAACTACCTATCTCTTAGGTAGATAGCGTAGGATCATTACAAGGTAGTAGGTAGGTAAAGGGAAAAAGATAGCCAGGCATCACCGTATCCACGTGACCTGTGACTCAAGCCGTACACACATCACTTATGGCCTACTGTAGGTAGTTGGTGCAGCTGGTCCTCGTTGGTTCGGTACAATGCTTCGACACCCCAGTGCGGGTTCGGGGGCAGCCGATCATTGATTCGGACCTTTGACGGGCCTCGCCCTCTCCCCTGTTAGCCCGTGTGTGCCCAACCTAATCCACGCAACTAACAGCCAAGACGTGTGCGCAACGGCAACGTACCCTGCCTGCTTCGAAGGCGAAGGGCCGGAATAAGTGTACAATATCAGCTAGTGCGCATCAGCAACATACACGGAGGACTAGGGTCCTGGGGAGGCTCCTCCTCACCGAGCGCACCCGAACCATTCACGTTGTCGAGAATAGGAGGGGTACGGTGCAGACAGAGACCCTATTTCCGGCCCCCAGGGAAACGGAACGAAAGTTCCTATACACAGCCTGGAAGAACTCCACCGACACCCCGTCTTACGTTGCCTTTTGGCTTGATTCCTCGCTTGATTTCTCGGCCCACAGATGGCATTATGGAGCGCACGGTGGGTGGTAATGATAATGTGGCCTGCTTGGCTTTCACTTTCTTCTCTCTCACCTCCCTCCCTCAGCCTCTCCCTCGAATTGAATATGCTCATTCTCGTCATCTCACCTCTCACTAATTGAGCCATATCCCTCCCTTGCAGAATCACGGCCGTTACGCTCTTCAACCACGAATCGTCGATCGCGCCCTACCAACCCCGCCGACCTCGAGGCAGTCAGTCGGCCGAATCTTCGGCGACCTATCCCGCTTTGTCGGTCTGCCGCCGTTTCTGTTCCCAGAACTCATCGACGAAGCAATGCACATGGAAGAATTGAGACACGTTCCGTCTCTGGCTCGTCGTTGGTTCCTCGTCCCTACATTCCCGTCACCTCTCACGCCAACCACGGTGGCATTCCGTGCCTTCTTGGCACCGTGACAAACATTACCTGGATCATGGCTAGACGCGGCCTAAAGATACTCGCTGCATCGTCTATCCTACCCCCTCCCTTACCCATGGATCGCAAACAGTCATCCATCACTTACTATGAGCATCCATCACTTGGACCACTCACAGGCTGACGAAGCGAAAGAGCTTTGTCCCTCCCTGCCGCTCTGCGCCGTCACGAGGCAGCCAAAGGCCTGTCCCTGCTCCGCCGGTTGCCCAGCCGCGCGGTTGCCGAACGGCCATCCTGTGGCCCTTCTGGGTCGACCCTGTCATTCGCGCATCGCCCTTCCGAGGCCCGTGTTGGACACAATCTTCTTGCACGCTGTCTGTCTCCCGCATGGCATGCGTCGTACAAAGCTGGTTATTTCATCGTCTAGCCATCTCTGTCAATGCTGCACATTCACCTTTTCTAGCAGGTTTCTATCGGGCGCCAACGGTCTAGAAAGCCATTCGAGAAGTGCTCTGCCATCTGATCAACGACGTCGTCCGGGGTTTCCATATCACACATTGGATCGAACCGAATTGGCAAGTTTGGCCATCTCCTGTGGATTTAACGGTCTACGACGAGGCCCAGAAACCGGGTTGCTGCTCGATGGCGAGTCTTGGGACGAACATCCTGGCTCGCAACGCTGTGAACGGGCCGGGCTGCAAAGAAGGCAAGCCGTTTCGTAAAAAGGAATTGGAGAGTCGCACAAGCTGTTTGATTCACTGGAGCTACCGCAAGATGTCATTCCTACTTCTCCTGATCCTCGTTGTCATCTTCCTCTCCGCTGTCCACCTTCTGAGCATAGATAACGTAGTAGCTCATATGAGTGTGTAAGTCCCGGATTTCATCTCTGGAAGGACCCTAGCGAGCAGCACCTGAGCCTCTCCGGTCGACCACCGTAGGATTCCGCAAAATAGCTACAAGGTGAAAGTCTCAAGGTCATCCGGCAGTTACGTGAGATTCACCATCCCACTCTCCTGAAAGTCGGGTCCTTAGCTCAGGGTCTGGTAGAAATCTTATAGTGCTTATGGGTAATATTTTGATAGCCGGCTTCTTTCCCCTTGTTGTAGTATAACTTAGGTTGAACTCACAGCCAACCTTGTCAGACATCTCCGTTGCCACTTGGATCCATCTCATCGTCTCATGGTCATCTGTCAACGTCCCGTCGTCTCTGTCAAACAAAACGTTATAATCTTGAAACATAGCCCAATCGTTCATTATTGTTCAAGCATGTGGAGATAGAGCTCTCAGTGGACCGGGTATAGTACTGCCCGATTCTCACTTTCTCGCACTCTACCTAGGTACTCATAGAGGTGTGTCAGAATGGAGTGGATAGCAGTTTTGGAGGAACCAAGTCGCAGAGTCCGACCGCACTGCCAGCTGCTGTCAGCTGCAAGACATCCTTCCATCCACTTCGGGTCTCTACTCATCATGATCTCATTCTCGGCCGAATCCACTTTCCAGGGAAACACGCGACGACCAGGTGTCATCCTCGTGAGACCGTTTGCACTGAAGATACTTGACATCGAAGCCTAGTCCAGGCGTAATGGATTCAACTGCCAAGACAATGACCCGTCGCGCAGTTGTTTCGTCCTTTATCTTCAAGTTCCCGCCCAACCGGGGGCCGCAAGTCGCCCTGTTCCGACGAAGCGGCAATCTGCGGACTTATCCGTGAGCCCAGACCCCGATCTCAAGACGAACCGACATCGAACGGTTCGCCTTGGGCTCTGTTGGTGGCTAACGCATGCCTTTACAGGAATCGCCTTGCGCCGGTGTCGGGCAGCATAGAGAAGGATGACCCGTCACCCCTCGATGCTGCCTGGCGGGAGATCCGTGAAGAGACGACGCTTACGCCAGAAACTCTGACGCTGCTCCGCCAAGGAAAGGATTACCGCTTTGCTGACGAGAAGATCGGCCGCGAATGGACCATCCACCCCTTTGCTTTCCGTCTCAAGTCCCATGAGGACGAGTCGCGCATCAAGATTGACTGGGAACACCAGGGATTCCAGTGGTTTGACCCCCACGAGGTCCGCGATGTTGATGAATTTGGTGGCGTGCCGCGGCTGGCCGAGAGCCTAAGACGTATTTGGTTCGAGATCGAGCTTGGTGAGAACAGAGCAAAGGTCCTGAGCGAGGGATTGCTCGCGTTGCGGAAAGATCACGAGAGCGGGGCACGGCAGCTGGCGGGAAAGGCGCTTGATGTTCTCCTGTCGGTGATCTCCGAGAAGTCTAGCATCGAGACCGATGGCTCTCTGGAAAAGTGGTGGCGGAACACTCGACTTGCGGCATGGCATCTTTGGAAGAACGGGCGGGAGAGCATGGGCGCTGCGATCTTGAACAACATCGTACGATCCCTGACCATCGTCGAGAAGGAAGTACAGCAAGTCAAGGACAACAGGGTGACACCTGAGTTTCTGGACAAAGTCATGCGTAAACTACGCGACTTTACGGCATCGAGACACACCTCGGTGGAAGGAATTTGGAAGTCTTTTGAGGCTTTCCTGAGAGAGAAGCATGGTTCCGGTCGGCCGGTCCGAATCCTCACCCTGTCATCGAGCTCAACCATTCTTGAGTGCCTGCAGAGAGCGATCGCAGGGTTCGACTCGGAATTTGACATCCGTGTACTAGAATCGCGTCCCCTTTTCGAGGGTGTGTCAATGGCTTCTCGCCTTGTCAGCTCTCTGCGTGAGTCGGGGCGGAGAGATAAGAAGGTAGAGATCGCCATCTACACTGATGCCGCCGCAGCGCTCGCGAGCAAGGACGTGGATCTGGTTCTGGTTGGCGCTGACATCATCCAAGAGGATGGATCAACGAGCAACAAGACGGGCTCGCTGCCAGCAGTTCTCTCGGCCAAGCACTGTTCTCCTCATGTCAAGGTCTTGGTCCTAGCCGAGAACGAGAAGATCCTGCCGTACGGGCCGCCTGGGTTTGAAGAGAACGATATTGAGGAGGTAACGGCGTCCTGGAAGCACAACAACGCCCTGAAAGAGGCCGCCATGAATGTCTCGAGCAGCGCACAAAGTGCGAACCCAGACGCAATGGGGATGAAAACGAGTGTCAGGAACGTCTACTTCGAATGGGTGCCTACGGATCTTATCGACGGATATATGCTTGAGGACGGCCAGAACAGCGCAAAGGACATCTCAGACCTCGCAGGCCGAATTCGGCGTGAGGCGGATGCCTTCTTCTCCGATGTCTAACCACAGCACCTTTTGTTTTTGTTCCATAGATCATGTCCATTAAAGGCCATATATGAACGTCCACTTTTTGTCAGCGTACCGTGTCCCGTCCGTACGCTCCTTTTCGATTTCTTCTTGTGACTTGTGCCGCATTATCTCCAACTTCCTCTGGTTGACGGCGGCAAGTGTGAGCCTGTAAGAAAGGTATCCCATGAGCGCCACGGCCACGAAACCCAGTGTTATATAGAATGGAACCTTGTAGTCGGGCTTGTACTTTGCACGGTATAGTTGCGCTCCGATAACGCCAGCGATGTTACCGAAGCCATTGAGGCCGAGGACGAGTGACCGTTTACCGGGCTCTGGTAGTAGAAACGAGTTAGTGAGTTTTTCCCAATGAGGTCCTCGCGCCTGGTGTATTGTTCGCATACCTGGCGTATTTCCACTGAGCCATGCAACCGTCAAAGGCGCAGCAACATAGCTTCCAAGGAGAAGCACGCAAAGCGCTGCGTATTTTCCGCCGCTTGATTCGACTGTTACAGTTGCGATCAAGCCAATGAGGGCAACCAAGATTCCTACCAGAATATGGTAACCACGTTCCTTGCTGTGTAGATATTAGTTTGCAGTTCCCAATCCGACGGTATTTTTCAACTACATACTGATAATCAGAACTAAGAGTGAAACAGTATAGACCAACGGCGCCGCAAACATAAGGGGGAACAGACATCTGAGGCACAGTTTCTCCATCAGTTCCAAGACCCTTGCGAGTATTCAGGGATTGCAAACACTAACCAAATTGGCTTCAATCGAAGAATAACCCAGCCCTTGCACAACGAGCGGCAGAAACACGGAAAACGCCTGGCCAGGCACGCTGGCACAGATGTTGAACGCCAAAACGTACCAGAACTTCCAGTCCTTGGCAGTCTCGACAAAATCGCGCTTCGTCAGGCGATCCTGCTCCACGCCATCAGAGTCGTATGTGTGCTCGACAAAGAGAGCATTCTCCGCCTTCATCCGGTCTGCAGCGAAGCGACGTTCCTGTGCGGTCAAGAACCAAGCGGAGCCAGGGCTGGCGGGAAGGAGGATCCATGCGAGCAAACCGAAGAACACCGTCAACGCGCCTTCGATTATGAAGAGATACTGCCAGTTCTTCAATCGACCGTTATTCAAATGGAAAACACCGTAAGCTGTTACCGCATTAGATAAATAGCCCAGGAATGACGAGTATAGCTTCGTTAACATACAGATTGCCCCTGAAAAGGCACCTGCAACCGCATATTGTCCGTAAAAGAGGCCGACTCTTACGGCGAGATCGTATCTGCAGTAAAAAAACGAGAGGTATGCGACGGCGGTCGGGTAGAAACCGGCTTCGAAGGCGCCGATCAGGAGGCGGGTTATGATGAGGGATCCTGTTTGACAAACGAAGGTCAGAGATTCGCCAGCACAACAGGCCGGAGATGACTTACCTCGGCCCTTAATAAATGCCTGACACAAAGTGACAAGGCCCCAGCCAACCTGTGCACAGATTGGTCAGCTTCCAACTACATCTCATTTTGTTTTCTTTCTGGGTAGCATTCCTTACCATCATGATCGGGATCCAATGCTTAGCTCCAAGCCACCTTCCAATGGCTGCAGAGGGCGGTTGCAATAGGACAAAGGTAACGAAGAAAAGTGAGACGGCCAGATTCAAATCGTCCGGCACAGCGCCAATGTCGTTGGTGAATCCTGGTTTATATTGTAAATAACGCAGTTACTTTGGTTCGAGGCCAGTCAACGGGTGGCGTTTGATGTACCTTGGGTTTGGGCATTTCCCACGTTTCCCCTGTCCAAACCGTTGAACAAGTAGAGAAGAGAGAGTAGCGGAAGAAGGGCAATGTCCATCTTCCTGTTGACTCTTCGGTCCATCGCAGCCTCGTCGATGGCCTGAGTGCCTTCTCCTGCCTGATCTCGGATGGCTTTGACCACCGAGATCGAGGACCTGGAGGCCGTCCCTTCGGCGTCGGTGCTCTGTGACGGGCGACTCATTGCTTTATTTTTACTGATGCTCTGTCGGCTTGTTGGTGCTAGTTGTTCTCCACCAGACTCAGTCTAATAACTGATCGTCCAGGATACCTTGACTTGGTTCCTTCGCTTCATTCGGTATTCTTTATACTGCGGAATATCCGTCGACGGACCTGGCGAAGACTCTCAGGACAGTGTGGTTGCACCAGTTTGGTGGATCTTGGACCTCATCTGCCTATCACGCTTGGACATGCGATTACTCGGGGTCATACTTACCAGTATAAGGCAGCAGCTGCAGTCATTCGCCCCTCGCTCAGCCCTAAGAGGCTGACGGCCTGGGGTCAATGGGTTGATACCGAGCTGTGAATGGTTAGCGGTACGATGAATGTGGGAAAGACGGTAAGCAATACTGCAACATCCTACATCAGCAGTTCGGTGTTTTTCTATCTGCCGCGAGTGGAGAAAATCGTATTCGGTGAGCTGGATGCAGATTTTTGTCCGACATCTTGCCTGCCGGCCGAAAGAACCCAAAGGCCCTGTTCTTCTCTTCATATCACGTCAGTTGATGCGTGCTTTAAGATGGGCCGGACCCTCTTTCGACCTGCATAGTACTTGTCGTCCCACATCCCTCATGACCATGATACAGCGCGCGTTGAGCTCTGGCTTCTGTGTTGGATAGAGTCTTGGTCTGGCTGGCCCCTGGCGACGCACTTGGCGCAGCCACTAGAAATCTCAGCTCCAAAGGGGGCCGTTAGCTTTCTATGTACCACCGTAGACTGTTTAGTCTTTTTGGCCACCTGGGCTAGACTGGTCCAAGGCTACCTAGTGAAACGGAGGCCGAGGGGAACCTAGAAAAGCCAGCAGCAGGCGAGGGAGTCTTCATGACTTTTGACAATCATGGATCAAGGTACTAATGAACCATTGTGAGTAAAGGGGGGGCGTGTCTGATGATGAAAAGTTTGGGTGGCTGATATCGCATGTAAGGGAGGGGGGGCAGCGGGCTTGGTCAACATTGATAGAACAAAAGCCAAACACCTCCGCTTCAAGCCGTTGAGCCGAGTAGATATTTTTTATCGGCGACTCATTGGCGAACCGGCAGATGGAAGAGTGGGCAGATAACATGGGGTTACAACTGACTGCATGAGCACGAGGGGTCAGGTGGTATTGTGGCATGTACATACGGTATTCCGGGCGTCATTTCGGCTCACTACCCACAGCTGGTCCAATCCAGATCGCAAAATGACAAGTACCGTGCAGCGTAAGATCCATGACGGCGCCGGGGGCCTGGGTCATGGAGCAAATGTGGCAAGTGGTGCACACACTATCAGCCCTGTTTCCTGTCCCAGATTCTGGGTCTTCGATTGGCGTTCCTTAGGTGCATAACACATGTCTTACTTACTTACTAGTGTACTAGTAGTGCTCGCTGGGTGACCCCCTGCGCGAGAGGTTCCCGTAGGTTCTGAAAACGCTGTCCCCAAGAGGTGTCTCTATTTGGACCAAGTTCGCCTCACGATGGTCTCAAGAGTTGTAACAACACAGAATGGCTTGAGAGTCTAGTGAACTGTCCGTGAGCCGATAGCCTGAGCTCTCCCTTTATGGCTCCCTGAACGCTTCGTTGTAGGATTCGCCTCGGACTCAAACGTGGACGGTGCGTAGAATGACTGAACTTCCCCAAGGCCTCCAAGCTCCAGCCCCGATTTGAATGTAGCCGCGATGACCGACCGCCCTCCCCCGCCAAATTTATGATGAGCAGCAAAAGGGGGTACCCAAGAGTCGCATGCCTCTTTTTGTTGCACTAAAAGCATTGTACATTATCACATTTATGTAGCAGGGATGTTGTCCTCATAGCTTGAAACTCTTCCTTTGCTTTTCCCGCCTTCTAGGGGGCTTCTGCCTTCTATTTAAGCGACATGGTGCGATTCATTTCGGAGTGCTGGTTGAAGGTCTTATACTCTTCAATACTTTAGCAATACTCTCTACCGGTAATTCCGGTTGGGCTTGTGTGACCTCGGATGTAGGGGTTACTCCCACATTCCTGATTTGACCCGTAATCCCCCAAGCTACCCGGGATAGCGTTGACAGACATGACAATTGCCCTGACTTGCTTCCAAACGGCGATGACTGAACCTTGAAACTCACTTCTCTTTTAACAGAATTCAATAGTCAGTCTCTCCTCTTCGCTAACAATCCTTCCATCGGTGAGTCAAGATCTTTCGCCCTTGGGCCCGGCTCGTCACAAATTCTGGCAAGACAGCTTTTCGGTCATCACAAATGTATTATAGGTGCCGTATCTTATCCCACTCCCGTCCCGAACGCGAGTTGTTTCCTTATGCAGTAGGCTTCTGGGACCCCGCATGTCAAGATGAAATAATCATAGAGCTCTTTGTATCCATATGTCACTACCCTTTCGCATATACTATATCAAGACACCGTCCCCTTCTCCGCTTTTGTTGCAGATCAATGTATTCATTCTTCAGCCTTTGACCACCCTCGATCTCGTATTCTCAATACGGAGACGCGATTATCGTGTTAAAAACAATAGTACTTGAAGATAATGCCTCAGCACTTGAAATTTCTTCGAAAAGGTAATCTTTTCAATCCTTATCTTGTGTTCCTTCTATTACTGCCCTACTCGAGTTTCAGGGCCCCCTTTTTGGCGTCTTGGATGTGTCCTTGGGGGTCCTACCGCTCTCCAGGAGCTCGGGGGGGTTCAGTTACCGGCTATACCTATGGAGCCAGTGGTGGGTAGCATACTTCCAAACCGGTACCCAACTCCAGCTTGGAACATGTGGCATATCTCTCTCTTATCTGTTGTGCCACAGCTCTACATAAGGGTCTGAACAAGACATTTGCGAGACAACCGAAAACGCAGTTTTGAGCACATCGTCTTGTGTGGTACGTTACCACATCTTACGAGAATACTTACAACGTCCGGTACAAATTACAGCTGCCAAGGGGTATGATACAATAGCCTACCAAATGCAGTAGCTTACCATCAAAGTCTGAGTGTCTCGTCGAAAAAGAAGCCTCTGTCAGACGACCAGAGCGAGCAATCCACTGACCACAAAAGCCCAGGGACCCAGGCTGCTCGCAAACTCGATTCGAAAGGAGTTGACTGCCAGAGTCCCCCAAAAGTGGAAATTCTGAGTTCCAGGAGATATCCGATGCGCTTACCATGGCCCAATTTTCGTGTTCATTCTTTATCTGCTATCACAAACAGTATTTTGGGCTCAATATATAATGATCAACAACCTGTCTGTTGGAAAGAATACCCTCTTGAAAGTACATGCTCTCTCACTAGACAAGGAAGAGCTGACTGAGACCGCCACACCACCGCGTATGATACCATGCTCTTCAACATCGGTATGCGGAGGTGACCTCTGGGTCATGGACATGGTATCCTTCGTTAACCACCGTATCCCAGAAAACCGAAACCAAGTCGGTGGTTGAAAGTTGCGCCTAAGTGCAAGTGGCTTACTGATATACTTTTCCGCTACAGCGATTCCAGCGGGCTGTGGGGTTACTATACCGGTACTCCGAATAATGCAGAGACTATCTAAATACACTTCCAGTTCGTCAAGGTCTCTGACAAGGATGTGATGTCGATAATATCTTTCAGTATTACAAGAACCGCTATCAAGCTGCTAGCTATCTCAGGTATGATATGATTGCTGATTTCCAGCTGAATGTCTTTGAAATTTGCCTCCCTCCCCCTAACACTGCCTAAGACGCCTCGGATAAAACCGCATCTAGGAGCAGAGGGGTAAGCGTCTCCTATCTTGAAGAGTTTCGTGAAGCTGGGAATAGGTTCGTGCAGCCAGGACTAGTTGTGGCCGCCACGTATGTAGCTTATCATACGCACAGACCATCTCGTATGGCTATCTCATGCGTACGTATGACAATCACTTTGCACTATTCTAGCAGACGCTGCGGTTCATCTCAACACGTTTATTATAGGTATTTTCTCTTCGGAAACCAAATCCTCAATCGTTCTAGCGTCTGATGTCTAAACCGTGTCTTCTTAGCCGCAGTAAACTCTAATCCTCAGTCAGAAGTGAATAATCCCAAGATGCGACAGATGTGGAGTTTGTAATCGTAAATCTCTTTGTGGAAATGCTCATCAAGCTTTTCTATGTTAAGGAAATTGGTCTCAAGATGTAGAACAAAAGTCTATAACGTAGCGGGAATCGTTAAGCTGCCATAAATGAACCCGTCGCGGCCTCGGCTGTCACGCCTCGACGAGGACGAAGAGGGGCCCAATACGAGACAGAAGCAGATACGACAGCTGTTAGTTGAAGTGTTAGGTCCGTAGAAACGCGTCATATAACAGTTGCCACTGCTACAACTGCACTTAAGTACCATTTACTGTCACAACAATAGCAATACCGCTCAAAGCCTACAACGCAAGAAATCTAACAAACGCCTCATGTTGTGCTAGCCTGCCTTGTCGAGGTCAGGGGCTTGTGACAGAATCAGTGCCGTGGACTTCGCTTCGCAATGAGGCACCCTTTTCATCCCGCAGGGTTTTTGCTTGGTAATTGTGACTCATTACAGTTCACAGGTGCGTTACTGCCTGTCACTGTGCTCTGTTGCAGTGACATGGATTCAATTAATGCGAGGAAACAAACTATTTGCACATATATACATGCCTGCTACACTTAGCCTCGGTTATTAGGAAACTCTTGATTCCAACTGATCAAGAAACTTGGACTTCAGCTTTCATCAGGGTAGAAACGTATGCTTATCCTATGTTTTTGGCCCGTTGTAGTTCTCGGAGGGTCTACATTAATAAGCGACGGTACGTCTTTACGGTTTGGAACCTTATCTCAATACATCATGAAGCTGGAGATAGTTGAATGAAAATCTCAAATTGAATGCTATATGCTATGATAGGATACCCAAGCTGGGTCTTTTTATTCCTTCCCAATGTGAACAGTTTGTGTGAGTATTCAATTCAAGCACGCGCCACGCTCCGCATTTTTACCCATGATTAGGATTCGTCGTTTATACAAGTCATATATAATTCATTTCTTTACTCATAACCCAAATTCTCTTCATGTAAACACAACTATGAAAAGAAGTCGACCCAAGAGCTATAATCCCAATCCCGCAAGGTAAGCCTGCAAGTATCGTCGGCAACATCGTCAATCATAACAAGGACACGCATCGTTAGCTCAATACTTTGGACCCGACTCAGAAGGTCCAGGGCTAAAATTCTGCCGTCCATGAGAACGCCCCATGAGCTTGTGCTCTTCCACAACCACGACAGCCGGCTGGCGACTGCGACGGCTCTCGCTGATTACAGCGACAAAGATCCAGGCGATGCCGAAAACGGCAGCGAGAATGGCGTACACGATCTTGAATTCCTTGGGCGAGTTAGAGATGTAGAGCCCCAAACCGCCGTTGATAATGCCCAGAGGGATAAGGAGGCGACCAATGGCGAGATGAATGTGCGACCAGGTCTGGCGGACGCCATACTTCTTAAACTGTATGTGGTGGATATAGCCAAAGATAGGCTGAAAAAAGAAAACGGCGAGGATGACGAGCCCGATGATGGGGTGAAAGTTGATGGTGCTGATCTCAAACTAATTGCTGTCAACATGCACGTCGCAAAGTTTCTTTGGAGGCAGTAGAAAGCTCACCAGACTTGTTCCGCCAAATCTGACATCTTGAGTCAACTTGATACCCAGTGCAGCAGCAGCGATGTATAGAACAAAGCCGGCCATCTGGATGAGAGCGTGTAGAAGCCAGGAGAAACGACCCGGGATGATTCTCATGGCGATCGAGCCTACGGGAAAGACGATGACGAAGGCGATGGTAGCCAGAATGCCGTGGATCCTCCGCGTGTGCATGGCCTCCTGGATGTTGAAGCCCACAAAGTTGTTGAAGTTGCCACCTCCGAACCCGTTGCCGCCGTTGCCATTGCCGAACCCGTTGCCATTTCCGTTCCCGTTACCCGGGACACCTGGGAACTGCTGGGCCACACCGGAAGACGCTGGTTTGGATTAGTCGAGAATAGAGAGGCGATGGTGAGGATGAAAGATCGTACCGAAAGCCGCAAGACTAATCAGGGTTAGTGTTGTCGCGCCCATAATGCTGATGTCCTATTTCTCTTTGGTGAAAAATAAACGTCCTGAATTTCGTCGATTAATCTGCCAATATTGACAGAAAAAAAGCTCAGACTTGAAGACAAGAAACGTGGAGGAACGGAGGTTGACAGCGGCTGTCATATAAGACACTAATAAACGACATGGCATTGGCGCTGGTCTCTGCTGCGTCGACGGAGTTACGCTTGGGGATGTGCGACATGGTCAGCGCCCGACCCAAGACCGAAGCCCCCGACGTGGCCGACGAGCCAATGGACGACCGGCCGATTTTCAGGCGATCTTTGACGCACGAACACGAACGTGGGGTGGATGGTATGATTTGGTGCGCTGTGGCAGGGACCTGGGTATTCAATCCGAACTATTCCTTAAGAAAATGTTTCTGCTCAGTCAGTATCACCCATGGGGGGAGCAAGGTTGTGGCCGAGGGAGCCTGATGATATCACCGACGTATCTTTCGAAGCCAGCCATGGAAGCTGTCGTAGGATGCGCTGCCGCGAATCAGATGGTTGGATAAATGATTCAGTTGTTGAGCACACCCAGTCTTTCGCAAGAATAGTTGGTCTGCGGTGCCGTGCGTGGTTCTGGCTTGCATGACAGACAAGCTTGATGACGCTTGAGTTGAGTTGGCGTAATGGAGGGGGTTAATTGGCACACATGTAAGACATACATACACTCTTGTGTTCTTGCATGAAACCCGGTTCCTGCATGAGTCGGTGAGGCGAGACGTCGACGGACTAGGCTGTGTTGTTAGTGCCAAGGCAGGCCTATGGTGGGACGGCCGTATCGTAAGAGGCGGACACGTTGACGTTGATTTAGGCAGCACGCCGCCTGGCAGTTGGTTGTGTGCAAGATTCTGGCCGCTTTCTTTATTTTTTCTTCCTTTCTTCTATTTCAGATATCAGGCTGATCGTTTCTCTGGGCACCCGCCAGTTGGCTTTGCAGTCCACGCTTACCGATCTGCATCGCTTGCTCGATCTCGCGCTCTCCCTCCCGAAGTCTGGCCCGTCCCATCTCAAGACTTCGTTGCTGTCTTCTCTTTTGCTCCGCAACCTTATCCTCATGTTCCCGCAGCGCCTTTTCTCTCCGTTCCCTGGCTTCCCTAGCCTTGAGCGTTGCCTCATCCTCTGCATCCGTGCCTCCAGCCTCAGGTGGCGGTCCCAGGGTTTGTATATACGCCTCGATCATGGGATCTCTCACTTGTGGTGGCAGTGAAATATATCTGATGTCAACCAGAAGCTGCGGCGGCAGACGTGATAGGTTCGTCTTATTGTTCAGTGCGGAGAGCGGCAGTGACCTCAGCAGCGTGGCGAGATCGGACTTGAGTGTTGCTTGGGGCATCTTGAGACGGTTAATGTGCTCCCGGTACCACTTCTCACGGTCCTTGTCCTTGACGTAAGGATCCGCCATGGCCGGTTCTTTCCGATATTTCCTCTTGAACTCTTGCCAAAAAAGCTTGGGCGAGGCTTTTTCCTGCAGTAACATCATGTATGGTATCCGGGGGTCCTTCTTCTCTTCTTTGGCCCGAAGTTCCTTCAGCTCTCTGATCTTGTCCTTGGACCATTCTTGCCAAGTCTCCTTTCGTGCTTTCATAGTGTTGAGCAGCGTGTACCTGGGGTCTTCAACAATGTGGCCGTCCTCAATCAGCTTTTCCCACGAGCTGTACGGGTTGATAGTGAAGTCGTCGAGTAGGTCCCTGAAGAGTGCGGCGGCATCTTCCTGTGAAAATTCCACTCCTTCTGCCCCTTCTGGCCACTCGTCCATGTTTCCGTCATCGTATTCCCCGGGGTCAAGCCCGTATGCTTCGCCCATTGCTTGGAGCTGGAATGCAATGTCCGCCTCGCTGAATTCCACTGGCGCATCATCTGCCGCATCTTCCGTGCGCTGGCGCTTGGAGGTGTGTCCGTCCTCTCCGTCCTCTCCGTCCTGACCATCCCCTCCTTCAGCCTCGTCATCCGTGACTTCGACCTCTTCGTACTCTGAACTGTCATCATTGTCGTCATAACTCGGCGCCGCTAGTGCCTCTTGCTGCGGCCGCGGCTGAGCCGTGGGTGTTTTGTCCTTTCCTCCATCTTCCCCTGTCGGAGTATCCTTGATGCCGGCCTTCTCGCGAATTCGGATTTGGTCCAACTCCAAGATACCAGGTTTTAGCTTGTCAGGAATGCGCCAGTAACTGGCATTCTTCTCGGGATTGTAGACGAAGCGGCGTCCGTATTTGGTTTCGACGAGGATCCATGGCTCGCATCCGGGGATCGCGGTCTTTGCCTTCGGCTTGTCAATAGGCTGAGGACGCGGGCGTCCGTCTCTGCCTCCCCTGCCTCCATGGCCGAAACCTCCACGCTGCGCAGGTGGTTGATTTTGTGCGTTGAGCTGTGCCAGGTATGCGTTCGCAACGTTTGGGTCAGAAAGCTGGGGTATGGTCTGGTATTGAAAGAAGCTTGTCGAGACCGACCCCAGTGCAGGCCCTTGGGCAGCAATGACGTCGGGCGCACTTGGTCTCGTGTATGTTGACTCCTTGGTCTCGGCGTTGTAGTAATATTTGTGCCCACTCGGCGCATCGTGCTCCGTCCATCCAGGAAGCAGCGGTGGGGGAGCCGCAGTGTTTGCGGGAGGCTTGTAGGTCGACTTCAACATGCCGGGTAAGTGGGCGCGATCGGGATATTCGCGACTCGGTTTGCCGGGGTTGTGTAGGAAAACCAAAGGGAATGTTGATAACAATTGGAGGCGAGCAGCGTCGATTGGATTGACGCAGACCGGGGAGACTTCGGATATCCGATAAGATAACAGCGTAGCTTACCCGGACCAGCCAGCACCTTTGCACTTCAGCAGCGGCAGCTCTTCGACTTGAGTCTCCCAATCAAAACGCCACATACATCAATAACAGCAACCCCCTCGGAAGCTATACCAACTCCAGCTAGCACTCATTGCCTAACTGGGTACCTAGGGACAGTTGGTCAGGAGATCTGCATATTGATCAAGTGACACTCAATGGTTTTTGGCGTTCGTCTCTTGAGCCCATAATTCTCCTTATCGATTCTTGCGCGCTTTGACGGTGCCTAGGACATCCGCTGCAGCTCTTCCAGCATCAATTGCCGCAGCAATAACTTGTCCTATGTTTTAGAGCTTCTTTCGCGCGGCTCGTAGACGGTGACTGCTCACCATGGCTCCAAGTCGCCTGGCCAGCAGTTCTAGTGGAAATGCTGCTGCGTCCGCACTCTCCAGGTTCTGGAAGGTAACGTAGCTTTTTCGGTCGTCATACCTATCTATGTGAACGGGGGTCATGAGGCCGCCATCTGACGAGGCACATCTACAGAGGACCCATGCGCCAGACTATTTGGGGTTCATGATTCTCCTTGCGGGATGGATGACGGTAGGTTTCTCGTCAATCAAACGGTATCTAGGGTCGCCGTATTGACCTCGGTTTTCTAGATGCTGGCTTTCATTGAACCCTTCCACCGCATGTTCTTCATCAATGATCTCCATATCTCGTACCCCCATGCGGAAATTGAGCGTGTGCCTGTGTGTAAGTTCAACTGGCCAGCTTTCGAGACGGTGAGATGGGACTGACAGAGCCTTCTAGATATGAACATCGTCTATGCCCTCTTCCTGCCACTGGGGGTACTTGTTGCTTACAACGTCGTTACTAAAGCTTCGCCTCACAAGCATGAAGTCACATATCTGTCTTTCGCCATCGCAATCGTCATGTCCTCCTTCATCACGGACCTGGTCAAGAACACAGTCGGGCGCCCGCGACCCGACTTGCTGGCTCGATGCAAGCCGGTCGCTGGCACGAAGCCTAATGTTCTCGTCACTATCGACGTTTGCACCGAGACGGGCCATCACCTTCTCCACGATGGGTGGCGGTCTTTTCCTTCTGGCCACTCGTCCTTCTCATTTGCCGGCCTTGGCTTCCTAAGCCTTTTCTTCGCTGGACAGCTGCACATTTTTCGACACAACAGTGGAGGCCGTGACCTGAGCAAAGCGCTGATTTGTCTCCTGCCACTACTTGGAGCTGCATTGATTGCCATCAGTCGCTGCGAGGACTATAGGCACGACGTGTACGACGTCAGTATAGGGTCGCTGTTGGGCTACCTTGTCGCGTACTGGAGCTACCGAAGACACTGGCCCAAATTGACCGCTAGGGAGTGCCACGAGCCTCACCCTCATCCGGGATCAGACCCCAAGGCTGGATGGAATCGACTGCGAGACGAGGAGGCTGGAGACTCGCGAACCGACGTAGGCTTTGAGATGACCCAGCTAAGTAGCCAGAGACACTAATCACCAAAGAGTAGGGTACTTTATAGAGTCCGAATCTAAAGAGCCAGCCATCGTCACAGCCGTTCGCTTCCGTAAGGCTAACTAACCGCCGCCCTGTTTCTATGCTTTTTGGGTTCTTGCTTGTTTTACTACCATTGATGTCCGTGTTTGTTATCGTATTTCTCATTAGTTGTCACATTAGTGTCCAGAATACCAGGGCTTCGCATATGCATCTTGGCAGCAGAGTGTTTGGGGCATCAATTCTATTGGTACATCAAGGTTGGGGGCAATCATCACGCCCTATCTATGTTTTAAGTTCCACCCATGCCGTTATTTGTCTTCCGTGGACTCGTCCTTCGCCAAGTCGTGTTCCTTGAGAAGCTCCTTAATCTCCTCTGCAGTCCAGAGTCTGTGGTAGATCTTGCCGTCGCTCGTTTGGCCAACTGTGGCGAACTCGACTGTGATATTTAGTTAGCGGGATCCTGAATATTAGTTAGTGGATCTATATGTGAGACGACGTACGCTTCTCTGCGCTCAGCTTCGTTGAGTCCATGGTCTTGCTCAGAACCTTGACCGCCATGCCGCAAGCCTCCTTGAGAGTGCAGTCCTCCTTGTAGTCCTGCTTCAACAAGCTCTCCGCGCTGGCTCTGTTCGCACCAACAGCCGTCGCCTTCCATCCACCGTAGTTGCCCGAAGGATTGCTCTGGTAGAGCTGGAACTGCCTGCGGGGATCCCAGCCAGCGTAGATGAAGGAGACACCAAAGGGTCTGAGACCTCCGTGTTGTGTGTAGCCCTGCTTCAGATCGCACAGTCGCCGGACGAGTTGCTCGCATGGTATGTCTTCGTTATAGGTGAGGAGATATCTTTGAGCAGCCTGGCGTGCGTAGTTAATGAGGATGTTGGCGTCGGCCGTCATACCTGCGACAGCAGCAAGCATGTTGCTAGAGAGAAACATGTCAGCGCCTTTTGCCGATTCTAACCTCACTAAACCCAGGGACCTACTCGTTGACGATGTAAAGCTTCTCGGCGGAGGTGTCTTGCTCCAAGAGCTTAGATGTCACCTTTCGCTCGGCGGCCAGGACGATGCCGTCCTTGGCAAGAATGCCGATCGCAGTTCCGGCGTGAGAGATGGCCTCGAGAGCATATTCCACTTGATAGAGACGGCCCTCGGGAGAGAAGATTGTTGTCTGGCGTGGAGTGTGAGCTTGGTACCCTAGCTTGGCAGGAGCAGGATGCAGTGCAAGGGAAGAGCGGGGAGGGACCTTACGCGGGAATCGTATCTGCGAGACATGGCGGGCGAGCAATCGGCAATCGAAAATCAGTTATCTTGGTCTAACGAATCGATTGCGGTGGTGATGTCGGATTTTCAAAGCGACAACAGAGAGAGAGGTGTGCGATGCGGCGGGATGGTCTGTTTGGCGGCGATTGCAGGGAAGACTGTAACTTTAGGGTGCAGCTTGTTGAAGCTCCAGGCAATGATGCACGCGTTAGCTCGTTGCGCCTGTCCTCCAGCCAGCCTGGTACCTAGAGCAGGAGCGAGCAGCCGGGTCTGAGGTGGACGGAGTGGGAAATTCTGGCCCGAGCTTTTGCCGGAAGCGCCTTAGCGCCAGTAATGCTTACCTCATCTCCCTGTCCAGATTGTCTGCTGTCGCTTGCCGATTAGTGCCTTACCGACCTCTTCCAGGCACCAAGGCCAAAATATGCACTCCCCCGCCTCCCAGCGTGCACGGTGCGCCATTCACCGAGCGCGAGGCCCAAGACAGCGATTTCCCAAGCTTACATAACGGCGGCAGAGAGTGGAGGCGGTTCGGCATTCTCCTACCAACCTCGCGCCGTTTTATCGCACAGCATCGCACCGCTACCCACTCGCATCACCTCCACCTTTGCGCAAGCTTCCTCTCGCTCTCTCTCCCACACACAACCAAAAAGCGGCACGCGAGGACCGCTGCAACTTCATTCGACCTTGTTTCCGTTGTCGCAAACCACACGACGCGACGGCTTACATTTCTAACTGGAGCTGGATTTTGCTGGGACGGACAATTTGGGAGGAAACCCGCGTAGACTCCACTCTTCTATTGAGTTTGTGTCGCGCGCATACTGGATGGGTCACATATTTTAGTCCTTTTTTTTCTGCTCTGCCGTAAAAAACCAATGCATGTCTGAGAGAAAGAGAGCGAAGACATCACTTCCTGTATCGACGCCTGGAATCCATATCTTCTCCAAGGTCCACGCTCTCGCGCTCCTGCCCACCAAAGGGAGGCGTTTGACATCTTTTCGCCCGCTCGCCAACCCAGCAAAGCAACCAAGCAAGCATGTCTGGTAAGTGTCGCAACCACAGTTGCGCTGCCCCGCAGCCAGCCGAGTGCTGCTGCTCTCCTCCCTACCAAAGCATCATAGGCGCAGCTACGGTGTCATATGGCAATATCTAACTAACATGCTTCGCGCAGGAGAGCCGGAACCTCGCCGCTCGGTACGCGCGACCAAGGGCCAACACACCAAAGCCTTCGACGACCAACCGATCGAACCGCCCAAAAAGCGAGGGAGAAAGAAGAAGCAGGAGGAAGAGCCTGAAGAAGAGATCATACGCTGTGTTTGCGGCGCCACAGAACAGGACGGCGATTCGGAAGAGCCTTGGATCGCCTGCGATAAGTGCACAGCATGGCAACACAACGTTTGTATGGGCATGAGCGTCTTCACGGAAGACCTCCCTAAGAACTACTATTGTGAGCAATGTGCTCCTCAGGACCACAAGGAGCTCCTGTCTGCCATGGCGCAAGGTGAACGTCCATGGGAAACGCGCCGCAAGGTCTACGAAGAGGAACAGAATGAGAAGAAGAAGAAAAAGAAGAAGGGTGGCAGGGGCGGAAAGCGCGCCAGCGACCCCAAGGAGGACTTGTCGCAAGACACGCGAAGCAATAAAGCCGAAGAGTCTCCAGCTCCCTCGGAAAACAAGGAGAAAAAGGACAAGAAGGACGGCGGTGCCTCCAAGGCAGCGACGGGCAAGCGCAAGGTACGAGAGGACACTCTCGAGAAGGATGTCAAGGCAAGATAGTGTCCCTCAACTGGTCTGACTGGGCATCGCTAACATAACTACTCCAGACGCCAGCGCCTAAACAGCGCAAAGTATCGGAGCCCGAATCGTCCCCCATCGTCAGCTACACTGCGCCGGCCGACCTGGATGCCAAGGTCACGGATCTACAAGAAGATCGCAAGGGCCCTGCACAACTTTTACAAAAGGCCATCACTGGCATTCTCACTGTCGCCGTTAAGGATAAGAGCGTCACTCTTCCGAAGGACACAACTGTGGCGGCGAAAGCGGAACGTTTAGCTCTCGAGATTGAACGCGCAGTTCACGATGCACACCCAGATCGAAGCCAGTATGCTACGCAAGCAAGGATCCTGTATGCAAACATGAGGATGAACGGCGATTTGACCAAGCGACTATTAAAGCGTACTCTTTCACCGCTGATGCTAGCTACCATGACCGCCGACGAGCTGGCTACCAAGGAGAGGCAGGAGGCCAATGCTCATCTGAAGGCCATCTCGGAGAAACAGTCTATCTTAATTACCGACGACACCCCGCGTGTCCGTAAAACGCACAAGGGCGAGGAAATTGTCGAAAACGATTCTTTCCAACAAAATGACGATGGAAGAACCTTTGCTCGACGACCTAGTGGGCGAGAGGGGGGCGAACCAAGTTCTGAGAATTCAGGCGAGCTTTCAGCCCATCCAGGACTACACATCGATACCCACGGAGCTCGACACTCGCCCAAGCATCCCGATTTTGATATCAACAAAGTGTACGCAACTGTCAAGTCGCCTACGAGCGCCCACAACCGCCGGCCATCGGCTCCAGTCCATGGACCCGGCGTTGACCTTGATGTGGACCGGCTTCTTCAAGAAGAAACGGATTCCCCGCCTTACTCGCCCACAGACGAGACGGATCCGGACGTGGTTTGGCGTGGCCATCTGGTTATGAGCTCGATTGCCGATTTTCCAGCGTCAGCCAAGTTCGTTGGCGGGGCCAATCTGTCAAACACCATTGGCTTGCCTTGGACCAGTCTGATTCCGAAGAGACTCGCTGTAGCAGGACGTATAGATGAACAGAAAGCTATAGAATATCTCTGCGGCTTGCGATATGCTGACCAGACTGATATTGTCGTCGTGGCAGTATCACCGGCCTCCGAAGGTTCTCGGCGCGAGTTTCAATCCTTGTTCGATTACTTCGTCTCCAAGAAGCGGTATGCCGTCGTTGGGGACAAGGGCGTTGGCAACGTAAGGGACACATACCTTGTACCCGTTCGCCCTGGGGAGGGCAACGTGCCTGAGTTCATGCTCAATTTTTCCGACAACCTCGTGCCCCAGAAGAGAACCGAGCCCATGCTTCTGGCCGTTTTTGTGTATCGAAACGCTCTCAGGCAACCTCAGCTTGGCGGTGCCGCCTCTCAATCTCCCATCGCCAACACGCCAACTCCTACGCAAGCGGGTTTCCCTCCAAGGCATCCCTCAGTCTCTGGGCCGGCATTCTCGCCCACTGTTAGCCAGGGTCCATATCAGCCACCCGGCCAGGCTCCTATCGGCAACAACGGCTACGTACCGCAGGAGCACCCGACACAAGGGGCACACCAGGTCGTGCCACCAAACCAGCCTCCTTCGGGCTATGTAGCTAACCGCGGTCCTGAAGCTGAGAAACAACAACGTCAGCAACAAGGTCAAGTCCTCGCACAGGAGGTGCTAGGTCCGTTGATCAACAGTCCCACGGTAAAATTTCTGTTACCACAAGCCTATCAAATGACACGGACGGAATGGGACGTTATTCGGGGCATTCTGGAGAGGGATCCTCGCGCAAGGGATGATCTGACGTACCTCAGCCAACTGTTGGAGAAGCAGCCATCAGTCGATGGTAAGTCTGGTGATGGCCCTCCGACAGCGGCTCCTCAGAGTTCCCAAGGCGTGGCGCCGTCAGCATGATCGTCTTAGGATGCAAGAGGGATGGAAGTGAGGTCGGTGAAGCACATAGGCTCTGATTCGCGGTATATAACATTTCGTGGGATTCTTTTACTTCTTCTCCCACGCATGTTCTCGGTTTGAGAGATGAAGATACCGTTCCCAGATAGGAGGGGTTTAAGCATTGCCCGTTGGGATCTACTATGGAGTTTCTTATCTAGCTGAATCGGATCGGGCGCTATCGAGTAGTGTCCTTTGAGTATACACACACTTGCCTTTGTGAGACGTTCTTACTTGAAGGCCAAGTTGGCAACTCTAATCGTGCGTAAAAGAAAGATATGCCAATTTTGCGACTCGAACCGGTCAAATCGGCTTCAAGTCTCGTAGCGCATTGCATTTTGATCGATCTCAGCATTATCATGGACCAAATCTCTCACAGATGGGCAGAGTAAGCTGAGTCATAAGTGATTATGAGTGCGACTGCAGACTACTGTAGAGTGCTGTACATCTCACCATGGCTCAAAGACCACCTAATGCGGAGATGCATCCAGCTCTGAAAGTGTTGGGACATACTTCTCGACCCACGAGAATGCTGAAACGGAGAGCGTCAATGGCCAGCAACTGTGAACTACCTGGTAGTATCTATGTATGTATTTCAAGATACCTACGGTGGTGTATCCGTATATAGGTGTAAAAGACTGACCTGCTCATGTCGGGAGCGCCACAGCCGGGCCCGTTGCTGCCAAGTGCGGCCGCCTCCCCATTCGACGAATCCCATCCAGCCACAACAGCCGGGGCTTGTTGAGGTGTGCAGTTGCCCCACCTCGCCATGACGACAACTCTCCTGGAATTAGAAACACGGTACGGAGTAGGTACTGAGTACCTTGGAGAAAGTTCAAGCATTGGATGAGGGGTGGTACTCTATTTAAAGCCGGGTTAAGACAGGGGGTAGAGAAATTGGAATGATTGTCGCATGATAGCCACCTACGATTTGGAAACTACTTCTTCATCAGTGCTTCGCCCATTCCTTCGCCAGCCCAGAAGACAGACAGACAGACAGACACATTGACAGTATTCGGTTCTTCAATTGGAATAAATCCATATCTAATCAACACCAGCCGTAGGTTTAGCCACTGGCGTGACGTCACTGACCTCGTCCACGGAGACAAGAACTGACAGTAGTATCGCAGACTCTTCCCCCCAAAAGACACCGACAACAAGAATCGCAATGGCCTGCGGCGCAGCTTCTTCCGGTCTCGTCAACCGCAACGGCCCCGGCAGCGCCGCCACTTCCATCGTTGACAGCATCGTCAAGCCCGCCGAGGCTACGGGTGGCAAGACAAAGTGCATCGAGTGCGATGGGTACGAGTGCTGCTGCATCCCCATCCCTTGCACCGTCATGTAAGACGGTGATTCAGGAACAATGCAAGACACGGCGAAGTAAACAGTCTGGAAGGAAGCTAGTGTCGTCGGAGGTGTAGTGAGAGGATTCTACTGCCGCAGATAACTCTTGTCAATACGCTGGCATCGGCCAACCGAGCATGAACTCATGATTTGCTTTTTTGGCCGTTCTATATCATATATCTCGTTAAGTCAACTCGAGACTGTTAACCACTATCCTCCGATATCGCCTGATCCTTGTTCTTTTTGTTGAAACTGGGTATCTATGCTTGCAACTCTCCCTGGTTCTCTTCCCAACGCCGGAACATCTCTTCTACATCGTCGTAAAGTGGGAAGGGATACCTGATTATGGCCTCTAGCAGCGGAGCAGCGGGCAACTCGTCACCATCTCCCCGCTAGAGAAACAACGCATTCGCATCCGCCCACACCTCCTGCTCTCTCGCCCTGCCAAAGGTCTCCACATCTTTAGCGGTCAGTTCGCCATCAACGGCTGATGTGATGTTTTCTGGTCCCTTGGGCGTCTCGATGCTGCCAAGGCCCTCGAGGACCCGCTTCGCCTTGTCCACCTGGGCTCGGATGGCTGCTGTTTCTGCCCTTGTGCGGTCGAGGTTCGATTGCATCAGCGCGATGGCCGATTCGCGAGCTTGATGAGGTCGGTATTCGTTGAGAAGATGATGGAAGTTGATTAGGAGGGTGCGCAGGTCCTGGATTTTGGCAGCGCCCTATTCAGAGTCAGCGCGGAGATACGGGATTGGGAACGGAAGAGTGCGCTCACGTCGTCCGGCACCGTTGCCATGACGCTGACAAGCTCCAGAAAGTTCAAGAGAAGAGACTTGGCCATCTTCTTGAGCTCGAATGCCCGGTCCATGGGTTTACCGTCCTTTTCATCCGAGTGCGCCGGCGCCAGTCGTTGGATTTCGTCCTCCTCTAACGAGGGAAGCTTGTCGTCGAGCTGCGCAGACTGTCAGTCTACCTATGGTTTGGGGTTAGCACTGTTATGAGCAACGTACAGTGTAGTTTCCTCCGAGGACTCTCCAAGTGCCTGCTGCTGGTTCGGCTGGCGGTTGAAGGTGCATGAGATCTTCGGGAATGTCTGGTAGACGGACGGGCAGGTCCTTGACTGCGACACCATCTTTGTCGGCCTGAGCTTTGCGAAGCTCTTCGATGCGTGATAGGTTTTCTGGCGTAAACTGCCTCCAGAACGGGGGCGGATTGGGAAATGTTGAAGACAGCGCATTATGCGACGGCTCTTCTGGGTTGTCAGCCATGTTAGCGATTTCGGTGGCAGAAGATATTTGTGTCGAGTTCTTCAGCAAGGCAAAATGGCCATCATCCAGCGTGTGTTCGCGTGATTGATTCTATGGAAGCGAAAGTTCGTGTCTTTGCAGAGGTAAAGGTTATGGGGATTGCCGGTGTGATGTTGGACGCAGCAATTCGTACGGTGCAGGCGGCCTTGAAGGCCACCAACTTGACTTCAGCGCGTTCGGTGGTGAGCAACCGTCTACCAATACTGGAAGGCACCTAGCGGGGGCAGGAATTCCTTCACGACCCCGCTGTTCCGAATCCGGACTGGCGTCAGTGCCCTTACCTGGCACTTGCACCTCCACTATTCAGCTGACAGCTGCGCTGGGTTGGTCGCGTCGGTTGCTTGCCGCAATCTTGAGCAAACGAATGACTTCATCCCCTTTGAATTCTTCAACATTGGCAAGCCATTGACTGTGACCACGATCTCCAACCGCCTCGGAGAGGAAGTCGCATACAAGCTGGTCTCGCGAAGACGCATCAACACCCACTATGGCCGACGTCCGATCACTCCTCCGTCAGCAGCGCGCTGCCAGACGAATCGAGCACCCTCATGCTGCCTACTCGGATGCGGACAAGCTTCTCTGCACCCTCTGTCACGAGCCAATCAAGTCCGAATCACTTTGGGACGGCCATGTCCGCGGTTCAGGACACGTGGCAAAATTCAAAGCTGTACAGAAAGCATTCACCGACACGAATGGTTCGGCAGCCGCAGATAATGCGCCGTCGAACAAGCGGAAACATGACTCGGACGAGGATATGGAAGACGATGATACGGCAGATGCTGTACGGAAGAAGCGAAGCAAGACCAATATGAGCACGCCTGCACGATTGTCCCTCGGCGAGTCGGATCGAGACCCTAAAGATGTGACCCTCACACCGCCGTCGCTGAATCGTCAGACGTCGACAACACCTGTTCAAGGCGTCGAGATACAGATTCCCTCGCGGCCCCATACCCCAGCGTACAAGGACGGAGCATCTTCGAACTCAACACCCTTAGTGCAGCCAGTCGGCCCCTCGCCGCTGGTTCCGCAGGAGCCGACGTTGGGAAGCTCTGTTGCAGCAATACCACCTGCACATGAGAATGGCGCAACGTCGAAAGCTGAATCGAATGGAGGTCAGGTGGATGAAGACGAGTGGGCGGCCTTTGAAGCGGATATTGCAGCAGCCACAGCGCCCTATTCGGAAGATGCTGTGATTGCTGCCCCGGCCATGACGGCGGAGGAGACCGCGGTGGCGGCGAAGACCGAAGAAGAAGAACAAGACAAGAGGCGTCTTGCCGCCGAGAAGGACCTCATGGATGAGAAGGAGGAAGCTGCAAGAGCTTTAGAGACGGAGTTTGAGGACATGGAGGAGCTCGAGGCCAGAGTTCGAAAGTTGAAGGAGAAACGTGAGGCATTGAGGAGACAGAGCGATGCGGGCTCCGCCGCGCCTGCTGATAAACTCATCAGCAAGGCTGCTGAAGCTGCTGGGAAGGAGAATGTAGAAGCGGTCCGTGAGGAGGATGAAGACGAGGATGAGGACGAAGATGAAGATGACTTCATGGGCTTCCGCTATCGGTCATGACGACGCGTCTCCCATGCTGTCGTCCCTCTACTGAAGTATGCAAACTGTTCATCAGCGGCAAATAGACGTCTTTGTGGTGTATAACTATTGTAACTTAAAACTTTCACTTCGGGTTCATAATACGACGTCCAAAGACGTACTTCTATTCTAGCCACCTTCTTTCACCACAGCTTCTCGACGAATGGTTGTTAATTATTGGAAAACGTCTCTAACTCTAGTAAACATTACTTTTCACCATGACCCTCCATATTAGGGGAGAAATATGTGCTCCCGCTGAGATTCCCGTCCATATGTCACACATGTTCGAAACTCCACTGGAACGAACGTATTATCGTGCCGCGGCCGCCGTCGGCGCGCGAGGTAAATGAACCGGACTTGTCGCGGGCAAGGCACCGCTTTGGTAGACGGTCGCTGTAACAGTATTGTAGACGGTGACAAGAGCCACCGAGACGGAGCAATCTACATAGGTGGGTAGGGCGCTTTCGATTGTCGTGCCCTTAACCGTGGTCGTTACCACCGCGGTAGAAGTAACGGCGGTGGGATCAGGGGCAACAGTCGGCTTGACACACTTGGTCCCGTCCCAGTGCTTGCAGTGGTGCGCTGAAGTCGGCTTGGATTCGGTACCGTGGTCGCCGTTGTCTCCGCCGGAAGAGTGGGTAGGCTTGTCGGCACCGGAATCAGTACGAGTGCCTGTGGCGGATCCGCTATTTGCCTGGGTAGCCTCGCTATCGTCGCTGTGGTGAGGCGACTTGGTCTCGGAGCCGCCGAGAGAGGTACTCGTCTTCGTTTCCGAGGACCAGTCACCTCCAGGAGGCTTGGTCAAGGTGGTCACGGAGCCATCGGGACCTTCGCTGATGACCTCAGTGCAAGTAACAGTCACCTGTTCGCCATAAGACTCCGTAGCGCGGACTGTCTCAGTCACGACCACTGGTGCCTGAGTCATCGTAACAGTTGCAGTGATGACCTGCCTAGTCACGAAGGCACTCTGATAGACAGTCTCATGGATGATTTCGGTCTTGGTGGAAACGCTTGGTGTGCCGTCCGGTACAGGTAAGCAGGCGCATGTGTTTGAGACGGGAGGCGCGCGGCCTCTCAGGTTGTCAGGGCGAGCTTGAGAGAGTGATGTCCAGGAGAGGACGGCCAGAACCAGCCAGTTGACTTGGAGAACCATTGCAAATCGGTTGTGGTAGAGGACAAGTGAGTGATATAGATAGGCGAGGTGATAGTTATTGAAGACTTAAGGGCGTTGGCTGCTGACTGCTGGATGTATATTCAAATCCAAGCTTGAGTGATGTGTGATGATCCTACGAATCGAGATTTTTGGCAAAACAAAACACGGCTTTATACACATTTCCAACCTAACTGAGCTTGCAAGTGTAGGGAGTCAAAAAAAGGCTTCGCGATGCTGCTTGTGCCATCGCTGAAGGAATGCTGTTTCCCTGTATTGCGACCTATTGATCCTCCAGGCTCGATATACTCCAGAAAGGGTATGGAACACCGGAGACTTCCCACGTGGCGAAGGTCCATAGGGAGTTAGGTTACATCATCTCATCAAGTCCCAGAGCCTTCATCCGCTTGGATGTTCAGCAACCATGATAAAAACTAAAACTAAAAAACAAAAAACAGACCAAGAGGGGAATGGAAAGAATAATGGCAGTGGACTGTTGACATTAGTGATTCTAAGGGGGTCTCTGGGTCAATAGTCTGCAGCATCGACCGTTCCTAGGGATCAGGGAGAAAAGAAGAGGAAAAGGAGCAACACAGGGTCTAATATTGAAGCCCGTGTCCAAAGGGAGACACAGCTTTTAAGATAATCCGGCTGACAAGTGAGAGAACTCGACGCAACACAGCCAGGACTGGATGATGCGATCCGTGCAGTAATCAGCTGCAGTACTACATATATGCCATGCGCGGCGTACATCGCATCTATGAGCCACCAGGGATTCGACCATTGAGGATCGGATGCGTGAACCGATCAAGGGTTGGCGGTGCAAGGTCCAGGTTTCGAACTGAATGCCGAGAGAAACTCGACGTGGAGCTCGGCGCTGCCCGTCCCGTCCCGCTATGGAGTGCAATCGGCTATCAAGATAATCCGTGCCGATATAGCGACCGCCTTCCGAATGCGGGACGTCACTCCATCGTCGCAAACTTGCTGTTTCTGCCAACGGCATCACAACCACAACACGCGCCATCAATCCAGCCATCCTCGGCATCGACTTATTGCACGAAGCCGGTTTGCTGCGCTTCTTCCACTCTTTTATGACATTTCATTTGCAGTATTCTCCCACCGCATTAGCGCAGGGGTCACAGCACCACCGACGACAGGGCATCGCTTAACCAGGGACTGGCCGACGGATCGATCACGATGGGCATTTGTGCGTCATGCCTCGGGCGGGGGAACAAGGACTTCTATGACGAGGTGGGCTACTCTTCACCTCGAGCACTAGCAGCACAGCATGCGGTGGCTGATGGAAACTAGGACGAAGAATCACGACTGCTTTACGACGACCCAAACAACGTGCATTATGGAAGTTTTGGGGAGCAAAGTGTAAACGGACAGGAAGACCCGATGGAGGTGCAACGAGAGACGGAGGCTCTGCAGCGCGTTGTTGCAAAGACGTCCGAGTACGTACTCTGACACTTCTGACCCAAAATCCGGGACCTTGGGCTTGCTCTCATGTCAGAACTAGGAATGCTAACATCGGTCTTCCTAGCAACATGGTCGATATTTTCGAGATTGCCCCGCAGGATCACGCACATCGGCCTGCGCCGACAACGTTTGCGTATGCAGGGCAAGAAGCCCGCATCGTGCGGTACCAACACCTCCTCTCGAAGCTGGCGTCCAAGGACGAAGCCCCGGCTGGTGTCCAAGTGGATTGGCTTCCGCAGGAAGACGACACGATCGAAATGCAACGCGGCGTCCCAGCACTCAAGGCTGAGTCAGACAAACCCCTAGTCGGTACATTTGCAGATGCAGCAGCGGCTATGGTATGACACGCCTTGGTCATGAATCATTTGCCCCTTGGTTCTCCTTGGGGGGGGGTGGGCTTTTTTTGTCCCCTTCCCCAAGAATACAACCGCAGCGGCCAAGCCGCTTTCCATGCTTTTGCGGCATGCATTCCTATCAAGATTCGTATTGGTCGACACAAGGTTCGGGTCCCGTCGGATTACGGCAACATGGGACAAATTGGCTTAGAGTGACGACATATTTTCCACTTCCCTCGATACCCCCGCCCAAAACTTAGCACGCAGAAGCAGACTTTCAACCCCCTCCCCCCACATACATACAACACATAATAGTACCTATACGCACCCATATTCACTTGCATGTCAGTTCTTCCTTTTCCTTTGTCGAAACCCCCTGTTCGTGGTTAGAAACCCTTGTATAGACCACCTGGGCAACAATGAGGTTTATGGTGGACACAATGGATCCAAAAGACCACGAATTACTCCGTAATCAATGAAAAATTCCATCCATCCCACTTTGAAGCCCCCCGCCCATACCGGCACCGCAGCGAACCAATAAAATGCGCCTCAACTATTCTTCAGCGGCATGCCATGGGTTATCTAGCCCATTAAAAGATGGCCACGTGCACGTCCGGGTGATGTTTACCTTTCTTAGTGTGGACCCTTTAGCAAGGGATGTTGCATCTTGGCATGGTCATAGCCCAGAAGCGACCATTTTTTAGCTTAGATCTCGGCCGACGCTCGGGACCTGAGGGCAACATCGACACCTGGAAAGGAGAGAAGAAGCATTTGGAGGCTCATGTTGAAGACACTTGATGCCCGCCGTTCAGGGTTGTGCGGGAGTCTGTGCGGTTCCCGTGGCTCATTGGCGGAGACAAGACCAGGAAATGGTACCTTGGAAGTGAGGTGGGATGGAAGACATAAAGAGGGAGGGGTGGTTGCTGCGGCAAAATGGGGCCGCCTCCGAGTCACCATCCCATGAAGCCCGACACAGCCCACCAGCTTCTCGCCGGTCGTTTCTGTACCCGGTCTGGGTCTGAGGTCTCCTCTACGCTTGGCCCTGGTCTCTGCTCCTCCCACGCCTTCCTCTACTTTGCCATTGGTACGCTTCTCAATGCCTGTCCGAGTTACAATGCTGAGGGCCGAAGTCGGGAGAGGGACACAAGGGAAGGCTTGGAGCTCATCCAATGCTCATGCCACCCACTACACGGCGGCACACGAGGGCTGATGACGTCCCTTTTGGACAATCTTTACACGCTTGCCATTGCAGCATGGGAAGATGAATACAACGCGCGGAGTGAGGGCCAGACGACACGCCGAAGGACCACCCGCAATTTTGACGTACTTTGCCTGTACATCGAACAGATCGGCCCAACGTCCGCCTGCTGTAATTCGCTTTTAGCAATCGTATTCTGTCCTCGTTTGCCAGGGGAGTCCGCTTTCTGCGACCTGCTTACCTGACAGGCACGTCAAAACCTGCTGGATGGGCAGCTGTGCAGGAAAAAAGTGGGAGGACATCTGTTATGGTTGCCTCAGCCCATGCTCCAAGGCAAGACCGCCTCATCATTTGTCTTGTTCTCTTTCGTCCTTATTAGTTTTTCCAGTTCTCAATGTTTGAACCTTTCGACTTGCAACTCGATGGCTTCGGGGTCATCCCCTGAATTGCGACAATGGATACATCAGCGCCAATTCAGGATAAGGGGAGCATGGCAAATGGTCCAAAAATACATGGGAGGGCATGAGCTATGCAATAATGAGGGGCCCGGCTTTCATGTCCCTGTCGTCGTCTAAGTGGCGGGCCGGCCTACCGCGGCCAAAACATCTGAGCGGTCTTTGGTACACGCACACACACACACACACACACACACACAATGTCCGCATACGCACGCAAATTAATCGTACAGCAGAAATGCCTCTTCTGTTGAGTCGAGTGTACAGTAGTTGCGTCCCAACGTTTTACCTCTGGAAATTTCATAAGAGCCGTCCCAAGCCTAATCACGAAAGAAGGCCAAAAGAATAGAATGCTAAAGAGCAACGAATGAACGGCCGTTACGTGGCTCAACTTGGGAAAAACCTCGAGTCCCGCCCAAACTGGTCGTCCGCTTGATTTCTTGTCCCTCCCACCACCCCAGAAACTCTCCCGCGCTATTCTTGATCTTCTTATAGTCGTCCCCTGCATTGCAGGATTCGAGGACCACTGATATAACCAAGTTAGTAAAGGTCTTGCGGGCCCCAAACCAGTTTACCCCTGAGCAGCATTGCCGCCACTACTCCCACCTCGTCTCTCTCTCTCTCTCTCTCTCTCTCACACACACACACACACACACACACACGCACACACGCACAAAAGGAAAAAGAATACAGCAAACGAGGGGAGCTCAAGTACGGGGGAAATATCGGAAGAAAATGGAGAGTCAAGGAAATATGGCCAGAAAAGAGTTTCGACATACCTATACAGAACCCCCTCATCCTCGCCACCCTCGAAACAACCACGGACAATCGACGATCGTCAGTTTGCCAGCGTAACCCTGTTCCAATGCGATGTGCTCATTTCGTGGATCTGACGCTCGACTTCCCGCGCTTCGACCGTCGTCCGCTCGATTGTTGCCCTGCGGTTCCCCTCGCGACGCCAGCGCTCAATGTCCCTATTCATCTTGTCGAGCCGGCGATGCTTCTTGTCCATATCGTAGCACAGCTTGCATCTGTCCGGTTCCATGATGGTCTCGAACACAAGCTTTAGACCGCACGTCTCGCCCGTCCGGTATTCCTTGTTGCACTGCTGTTTGAACTGACCCCATCTCCAATATCCGCAGGCCCAGCGTGTTTGATAAAAGTAACACATGGTTATCCTCTTGTTTTCGTCTTTTTTTTTTTTTTTTTCCGGTTCGTTGGGGTTTTTTGGTTTTTCGTTCGGCCCCCCCCCTTTTTTTCTACCCTCTCTTGTTTTCTCTCTCTCTCTCTCTCTTTCTCTCTCTTTCCCTCTCTCGTTGTCGTTCTCTTGGTTGTATGGTTTCTTTTTCGCGGCAACTTTCGTTTTCTTCCCCTTTGCGGGCCGGTCCGTCTAGCTTGGCTTGAGAAATAAGCCGCTCACCAATGCGCAGAGACGTAGTGGGGAACAAATAGAGGAGACTAGGAGAAAGAGAGGAGTAGAAAGCAGCGAAGAAGCGAGAGGAGTAGAAGTGGTTCGTTCGAGGGTATCGGGTATGATATGAAGTCACTGATGCTAAAGTACTGGAACTCCAGATCAGAGGTTTGTTAGCCATCTTTTATTTACGTTTTATCCCCTCTGGTTTTCCCCTTCATTCAGCTTTGCCATGTTGCCTCCCCCTCCCTCCTACTGCCCCCCTACAATATGCAACACCCTGCTGTACACAGTGATGTTTCCTGTCACTCTGTCCAATGATGGCCCCTCCTCTTCAAGGGTAGCTTTTCTGGCTTGGAGGGGGTTTGTTGTTGTCATGGGGGTGAAGATGCGTGGGATGAACAATGTGAGAAGGAGGGGCGTGTGAGGAAAGGAGAACGAATAATGGTTGAAAACGGAAAACTGACCAGCGCAAGAAGAGACCTGCCGTACTAATCCAGGAAAAATGGCCCGCCGAGCAGCAAGTGGTAGCGGTGCGGCCTGACAGTCCGCTTCGGTCGACAGAACAAGTGTTGTTCGCAACTGCGATCGAGAAGTCTCTTTGTTCTTTTTTTTTTTTCCCCCTTCCTTTTTTCCCTCCACCGGCGCAAAAGCGGTTGGGCAGCAGTGGTGGTCTCTTCTTCCTGGCCCAGCTCGGGGGTGTGGATAACGGGGGTGCGCTTTTTCGATGTTGATTCACTGGCCCGGCTCTCAATGTAAGATGGTATGATTGATTTCCTCGTCTAAGCCGTGGACCGTTTATCTGACGATCGTTGTTTGCCCGGTTTGGTGTTGATATCACTGATAATCTTGTCCAACTCGGCCCTGGCTTTGCGCCTTCGTTCATTTTCGTCTTCATATAGCTTCTGAACCGTTTCTGTACATTCTTCTCTAGTTCGCAGGAAACCAATGCTGACTTATACTTTGCCGAAACATCAGGCTCATTGATTCGGACCCGCACTATGTTGTTATCACGATATCTCTAAACACGCGCAGACAACACTACATCACACTACACTTTCCAATGCACACCCACGCATGAATATGCACTTGCATCAAGTCTTATGGTACAAGCTCGTATGGCTGTCTGACTTTTTGGGAATCCGAGACATGGCGACAAACTTAAGTTGATCGCTAACCTCCACTTACAAGCCCCCCCAACCCCAACATTGAACAACATGACCCGAGTAAGTCAGAAATAATGTGGAAGAGATGTACATTGTTTCTAGGAGCTCCGATTGGGGTTTCTTGTGATGGATATTATGCAGTGCTTCCTCGGATCTCTTCCGTATGGTCCATCGATATCTCATCGACGAGCTCGTAATCTTTTTGATGCGGGCATGGCAATCTCGGACCGCATATTTGACATGTTTCCCGCTATCCTGCAGGTCGAGGCTAAGGCTGGCAGACGTCTGAGGACGAATGCTTGCCACGCTCATCCTAACGTAGAAAACTTCCTTCCAGGGAGCCTTGCTGGGCAATATAATTCTCCACTTCCGAGCATTGTGGCTTCCTCGAAAAGAATACAATAGAAATCGTAAGAGTACTAGGGGCAATACGTTAGATGGTAGCTTTTGGTCTACTCTGATTTAGGAAAGGGAAGAACCATGAAAGTGATCAAGGGTGAGTGGTGTGGGTGGACATAATGAGACGTTGACAAGACACATCCTGTGCCTGGCCAGACCCATGTTGATGGGTGACAGATATGTTCTCCTCTATCCTGGCTATGTGGTCGGCGGGTCATCCTTTGTGACATTCTGAGATCATAAACCCCTTGGACTTAACAATATGTAATGTAGCTTCCATCAGGAACCCGTCTTTGTTCTTCGACTCAACTTTGCCTCCCCTTTCCCAGTTAGTAGCACCTCCATCCCTCACTGCATCTGTTCCGAATACAGTGACATATGAACGCAAGGCGGACGACATCTCTCCACTTTCCATGAAAATCTCATGTGGGCCGTGAGGCGCGAGCTGCAGAAGACTTGCAGATTCCGCCTCCCAGGAACAACCCTGGAGTTAGCCCTGGGGACATGCGAATGGCGACTGGGCAGCGTTTTTAGCCTCCCGCTGGGAAGACAAGGCAGCCTCTCCTTGCCCACGTTGCATGCGGCCGTTGTGGAGCTTCGACGTACATTGTATTTCACCACCCCCCCCCCCCCCCCCCCCCCCCGGTCCAGGTGTTCTTTGGTCTGTTCATCGGGCACGCTCGGCAATGAATTCATGTTCAGCCTGTGAGAGACAACTGTCATCCATGAGGTTGTAATTTCAGCATCATTTGCCTGCTGACCCTGAAGGGAACTGTCTTGGCAAAGATGGAAGCCGGCATGAACCATCGAGTCCAGGCTGTGTTTGTGCGGCGTTATTAGTGAGGCCCTTGGTTTCCCCACAACGCTGCGTACGAAAGGGAGAAAACGGAAAATTCATGTCAACAAGAGTCAGAATGACAAGCCATTGGAGCAGACCGAGGGTTCCCCCATATGTTCACCCCCAGGTCACTGCCTGCAGCTCAGAATGGGACGTCATCGAAGTGGCATAGTTGCAAATTCAGTATACTTGTTTGTCATCTTCTCATTCGTCTCTCCCCCATATTCAGTCTACTTGAGCCTGATCTGGCGTGGGGGGCTGGAGATGGCCCTCCACAAGCGTAGGTTAGGCTTGGCACAAGTGTCAAGGAAGGATAGCTGTCTCACAAGCCAAGGTCCTCTGCAGCCCCTTGAGCAGGAAGATCCATGGGTGAGGCAGGCAGTGCCTGGTTACATTATAAAGAGCTGCTAGAGCCGGAAGCCCGTTTTCTGAATCGATCGACTACATCGTTGACGAATAATCGGACGTCTCTGCCACTCTGGCATCTATGCTATGCATGGGCCGCTTCCATGGAGGGAGGGGTGTTCCTTTTTTGTCTTTGCCTTATGAGAGAGGTGTCCGTGCATCTTTCCTCCATAAGCTATAGCCAGCTATGTAGCCTAGTGCACACCAAATGAACCACATGTATCCCTCCGCTTACCCTAATATGGATAGTCCGCTGGCTTTGTGACCGAGTAGACGCGGGCTACGGTAGGCAAAGAAGGCAAGACAGTCGAGAACGATACTAGTGAAGGCTTTGGGCGTTGGTTCGAGCCCTGTGCATCACGACGTGGCGACCAGCCGCTGGCCATGGCCAACATCCCGCCTTGCATTGCGTATGGATTACTTTAGAACCCTGAAGGGGGGCATGTAGCCAAGCCGTAGGCCTGTTACAAATATTTCCTCGGGAAGGAAGATGGAGGCCCTCTTACATCCACTCCCTTCGGTCTTGAGCTGACTGGCAATACTTCCGGTTCGTTGTTCAAGGATGTAAGAGTGCAATTAACCTCCGCATCCTCTTGGTGAACTACATGTGACTTGTCAAAAGCACCGGGCAATACTGCTCGGCGATAAGCGATTGATCAGATTGCGTTCTCGTCAGTTCGTTGATTGATAAAGCAAGCTCTCACTGAAATGTTCCGCCGTGACATTTTCTTCTGGGTGGTACACTGGGTGAAGCCACCAAATGATAGATTTGGAATCGCTGATAGCGATTGAGCTGGGAATCTAATGATCTGACATGGCCATGCAAGTCTGACCGTGTGGCTTTATCCAGCAGAAACCATGTCCTCTCACCGAGCTTCCTTGAACAGCTGCTCGGCATCTAAAGGGACACGAACCATGCGTGGGTCAAATGGACTCGCGAACACCTCCCTCGCTGTCCACAGTGCCTATCGACGGTTGTTCAGGGGTCGCGAGTAGGGAATCCCTTGTTTGGACCGTCGATGCGCTGTCAACTTGGGGGACCGTTTCCGGATAGGCTTGCAGCTGTAGACGTCAATGGGCCCAGATTTACCACCCTGCAGGTACTTTGAACTGAAAGTAGCAATTGAACTGACCGGAAGCGCCACATTGGTGACTTGGACAACAATTTTCCCGGCGGGGTACCTGGACACTTCCCTCGAGAACCATGGTAGGGTGTGAATCAGACCATTGTCGCGGCCCAGCATCATCGTTAGGCAGAGTGATCCGCCGTCGGCCCCAAGGCGGCCGCTGGTGAGGTCGCCTCTCAGTCGGCCATGTTCTTCCTCGCGACCTTGAATTGGAGCCGATGAGCAAAGGGGAAAGCTCTTTGGTCGTTAGCAATTTGTTGAGCAAGGCTTCAGCCAAGAAATGTTAATGACGAGAAACACCAATAGGCCTGGAATGAGGTAGCTCCAGAATCAGAATGTCACCACTCGAAAGAACACATGATACCCTTTAGCAGGCTGGACCCAAGACGCCTGTAGAATCAATACCAATGAGCACCCCTGGCTTCCAGAAGTTGTTCGAAAGTCACCCAAATCCTCGGAAACTTTGCAAATCATGGGTTGAAGAAATGATGCGCCTTTCTCTGGAACATGATTGGACCCATTCGGCAAAAATGGCGAAATAAAGACCAATGACGGACAGCAAGACGCACGTCAGCACGCCGTCTTGAGAACCACAAGATACTAGAGTCTAAAGATACATACAGACGCGTAAAATGTACTTCTGGTGGTGCGGCCAGACTAAGAGGTGCCAGGTACCTTGTCTGACAAAACCATATCGGTGAAGAAACCCGCAGGTGGTTTACGGCTTTAGCCACGCTGCCGGCCTTAGTAAAGGTGACCAGGCCTCACGAAATTGGCGCAAGATCGGCTGTCTAGAACGAAAGCGAGGACAGAATAGGCGATTCGGTTACAGAGCGGATTCGATATTGTGAGGGAGTAAGGTTAGACGTTGGCTAACAAAAGCGGACGCGTTTCGGTTGCAGCCGCAAAGACGACCAGGAGAGGATGTGATTGGCCAGGCCAGCTTTCGAGGTGTTGGGCCGGAGGAAGGGCCGCATCTACCACAGTAGAAGTCAAGGCAGATTTGACAACACGCGGTATACCCTCACCGGCAAGGTGGATGGCCGAGTGCAGAGATGATGACAAGGGCGACAGGGTCAGACGGCTGGAGACAGGATCTGATATCTGTAGCACTTGATAGTTCTCAGGCATGTGTTCTCTGCCCGATGCCAATGTCGAAATGGCTCGTCATGCCGTGTAACAATGCAGCTGATGTTTTCCCGCGCACTCGAAGCCTTGGTCAAGGTAGCGGAAGTTGAACGGGGCGGGGCGGTCAAGGTGCAGCCTCGACTCTGCAGGAAACTGCATCATTGATGCCATTTGCTTCACCTATTATTGCGTTGGCATGCCAAGTAGCCTCTCGTACTCGTTGACAATGTGTTACTGTACCCGGCGGGATACACCAATGCTTAGAGTATGTGTAGGGGCCAGGTGATTGGGCAAAAGAAAGGAGTGAATCCATTCCCAGGATGGATTACGGTTCAAGCAGGTGTCAAGCAAGCCAAGCGGTTGACGGCCCATTGGGAGGCCATGCCCACGTCAGGGGCGAGGGGTGGAAAGTAGGGATGGTGGAGGCCTACAGTTAGTTGGTCGACAAATGAGATATTTTGCAAACATTGTATCAGAGCTCTGCTTTCCTTTCTTTCCTTTCTCTCTTCTCCCCCCCGTCTATTTCAAATCACGTCGCGTCTGGCATTTCTGACTTGAACGTGAGCAGACATCGGGACGTTGGAAGTTGCAGTGGAGCCCAGCCCAGGACCAAACCGAGAACCACCTGAAAAGCGGGTCGGTCCCCTTTGGGTTCATACTACTATTCATCCAACTTCAGGCCTGACCCACTAGGGGCACCCCTCCTCAAGATCAGGCGGGGAAAGAGGTTGCCAAAAAGGTGTAGGTAAGCACCTCCCTCCGGCTGGGAGAAGCAAAGCAAGAAGGCACAGACGAGGCGAACACCTGCCCAACTCCCGCGTGTCCCGTTGTGTGGCAGATATCATATGCCTCAGGCTGCATGCGTTTCGTTCCGTTCTGCGGCGATATCTTTTGAACGATGCAGGCCAGCAAGCAAGACTGACGTCCAGCATCCAGACAGACAGACTATCGACTGACAAACACGGGGTGTTAGTGGTAACCCCGGTCTAGTGCGCCATTTTCTGGTCTCGATGCCATGTCCAAACCAGCCAGGCCTTTGTCCCGTGTTAAATGACCTCACGACCTTATATCGGATGTTGTCGTCTCGTCTCGGGCACACGGCTCGACGGGCGAGATAGTAATCGCTCGCTGTGCAGGGAAGCTCCCCTCCTCCCCAACTCGACAACCCGGCTTGGGGAAAGGATACGTACCTCTGCCGCTTCTCCTTACAGTGTCGCCCGTGACCGTTGAACTAACTACCTTGGCCAAAACAGTACGACATGCTACCTGATGCTGATTGGTGCGCACTGTGATTCGCTTTCTTCTTTCCCCCCTTGTTCCTGGTCCTTCATGGGCCGTGTGACACAGCCTGGAACGATGGAGGCGCAAGCTGCTCCTCAGTCCTTTCCTCACCTCACATCGTCACACCTCTCAGCTCGGATGTCCGGAGCCTGCGATATTGACCTTGGGAAACAACATCCATCCTCTCAGCCTTTGTCTGATTTGACTCCATCCGACGGCGTTGGCAACGCTAACACCACGATACAGAGGCCCTCCCTCCTCGAGGTCATCTTATTCCCTCAGTACTCGGCATCCCTGTCGCCGTCTGTCTCCCCACCTAGACTCCTCCAACCTCAACTTAGGCTTCTCCTGTCGACGACCAGCCTAGCATAAGACGCCTCTTTGTGGCCCCCCTCGTCGTTGTTCAACCACAAGCGCCTTCACATTCTCTGCCGCCCTTCTACAATCGCGATTGGTGTCCGCTATAACCGAACTCACTTCCCCGCCCGTCCCGCCCATACAAAGCGTCTCTCCTGCCGGTCGCCGGTCGGGCCTCAAACGGCCTGTCACCACCACCTTTACGGCACGCGCCCGCGGAAACGTTTTCACCCGCGGACACGTTCTCACCCGCGGACACGTTTACACCTGCGGCACTCTGACCGACTGCTCTATACGTCTTCAGCGCATCTCATCCCCTCTACACGACGTCTGTTATCGTCGCCTGGCCTTTACCGCTTCTCGCGCGATTGGGTCACACAACCTTGTATTTGACACCGGCGGGCAACGGATTGGGTCTCGAAGCAACCACCAAAGTTGTGAATAGCGGCTGTGACCCACTGGGACGACTCCGTGACCCACGTTCAATCATTCTGGAGGACGTCGTGTTGTCGCTGTAGCTGAGCTCCTCGGAGCGGTAGTTCGCTCGCTCGAATTTACACCGTTTTGTCGCTTGTAAGCTAACAAGTCGGCCATGGACGCAACCCACGACGAGATGGGTCCAGGCAACCGCCTCCCCCCTACCCGCCAACTTACCATAGCCCGCTCGTCATCTCCCGCAATTCCCGTACTCGCCGGCGATCACAGCCCAGGCTATGTCATTTGCGCGCAGCTCGACTTCACAAACGCCGTGGCCGCTGATGCCCGACCACGTTTCCAAGCAGACATAGGAGCCCATGCCGAGCAGCAATGGGGAGCTCCCGAGGCATCCTCTCCATCCTCGTGCCTGACACTGGTTCGACCCCAGTATCACACCACAGGAGCCATCTCTGAACTTCCCAACGAGATCATGCTGCACATCCTCGGCTATCTGGATGTCAATGACCTGTTGTCCGCTTCGAGGGTAGGCAATCCAGCATCTCAGTGACTTGACAATCCATCCTTTTTCTGCCTTGGCGCCCCTTTTCTCCTTCTCGCGTCCCCGATCCCGCCCATGTTTGCTGTCCCATTGAAACCCATTGACCCACCCCGCCGTTATCGAACTATGCTGATGGCACAGACCAACCATCGCCTGCGTCACCTGTCTCTCTCACCGATTCTCCATCACTACCGCCTCCGTCACACGCGCGCCATCTTGCCGCCATTGTTGTCGTCTCCTTCGCGTCCTTCTCTGGCGGAACTCATCGCCCGCTCCATCTTTCTGACCCACACCTCGGTTGTCTCACGCCGGCTGGCGCGCTCGCTGGTCTCCATCCGACTCTCCCGCCGCCTTGCCACACGGCCATCGGCCGAAGCCCTCGTTGAGCGGGCTGTTCTCCCACCCGAGTGCGTCCCCGGCATGAGCATGGTGCAAGTCGCACCTGCCCTTGTCGCCAAGCGACGGGCCATCGAGAAGGAGAAGGTCAAGGACGGGCTAAGGAAGTGGGTGGAGGGCGTATGGAAGGGTGAGGTGCGTCAGCGAGAGGAGGGCATCAAGAAGTGGGAGGAGACCAAAGGTGTTGGAAGGGTGTGGCGGCTTCGGCGTTTCTGGGAACGAGTCTCGAGAGGAGATGGCGTTGGCCTTCGGTAGGCTGGGATGCCTGTTGAAGTCAAGATACATGCGTGACTATTCTGTGATTTTTGGGGGGCGTTAGGTTAGAACACTGCTACGTGAGCGGCAGTGCCGCAGCAGTGTCTTGGGTCAACTGTACATCAAATGTGTAAACGATGACGTGTACCACGATGGCAATGATGGCTCGATGATTGGAAGAAAGTCAAATCAATCAGTTTTTAGCATCGTATCAACCACGTTTCCCCGTCACTGTGTACTTTGGGTGTCATTCTGGGCCCTTCCATGCATGGTTGACAGGGAAAAGGCAGCATCATTTATTAGACAGAATGAATATACCTGAAGAATGAAAGATATATTTATTAATCTTAGGGTATTCTGAAGCTGCCGCGATAACAATTACCGTCCAAGTCCCAGTCTGCACAATCCTCACGTCGTTGACTGCAAAGCCCTTCTGACTACGCCTTTTCGGCTAGTCTACGGGAGTTTGGCAGAAGATAGGCGACCGACTGCGCAGGCAAGTTCGATGCTCGCAAAGATCATGATAACCCCAAGAACCATGATCATGAGGAGCATAACTAACGAAATCCAGGACATTCGACGGGTTCTCTTGAGATATAATTCTCCAGACTCGAGGTTAGGCTCGTGCTCGAACTTTGGCTCCTAGAGAGAAGAGAGGGAGGGGTTAGCCATTGTCATACGAGTGATATATACGGAAGGGCGGCAGGATCAGTCTATTACAGGAGTCAAGGGCTTCGGAGGCGTCACTTTTCTGCGATCGCACTCAGGGCAGCCCGTATTGCCAGGCGCGAGACTGTGCGTAGAACCGAGGCACTAGGCGGTGTCAGTTCATGGCACATGTCTCGCAAATACCTCCTTGGGAAAAGGGTGGGCTTTAGTTTTAAGACATACCTCGTTGCAGTACACATGGCCACAGCCGAGAGGCTGGCAGAACGATGCACGGCAGTTTCTGCATTGGTGGGCAGGTGTCGGTGTGCCGGGGGACTGCGGAGTCGACGTCGGCGTCCTTGGCCCAGCGGCAGCGGGGGTGCCACTGACTTCGTCTGGGGCACTCATTTTCTGGACGAGTAGTGGCCGGTTCGATGTTGCAACCCAAGAGGAGAGGCTTTCTCGTGTCTTTGGAAGACGTTGAATCTGGTTCGTCCGAGAACAGTCCGGGTTATGCAAGGGAGGAGAGGGGGTGCAGTGTATTTGCGGAGACGACGCCGACTGGAAGATGCCCTCCAGTGATGGTAGACAATTGCTGTTTGAGGAACGAGGAAGATGAAGATGATGTGTCGTTGAGATTTGGGCTGACGACAGGGAGGGAGGTTGTGTTGACTGTTGGCGTGCCAAAGCTAGAAAGCGGGAAAGCAGGGCGCCAAAAAGTATCGTGACTTCCGTATCTGCGTAGCGTGATACTGATCGAACCAAACGGCAAGTACACATGTCTGTCCTGAAATGGCTATGACGGGCAGAAGTTGGAAAGAGCTGTCTCCAGAAGGGAGCCACTAAGCAACTGCCAGGAGGATACTTCTGAAATCCTAAGCGGGCCAGTATACCTACAAAACAAGGGGTTCCTCATTCTAAAAAGACGAGGACTCTGGAGGCGATGACTGGCGCGTAAAAAAACTATCAAGGTGAAGTATCTTGACGGTATGTATTATATTGAGGCGACCGTTTTGAAATCACACTAACCGACACTCGACGACCACATTTGCATGCCCCCCCCCCCTCAAGATCTCTTAGGAGTGGCTTCGCATGCCATTTTCTATTGTATGAATGCTCTGAAACGAGGGAGTACTGGCGGGTCCTTTGGGTAATTTGCGACATGACCTGATGTGCGAATGATGTCACTGTCACCGCGTTGACACATCATCAGAGATTTTTCAGGTGAGTAGAGAAACTGGCTTGTAATTAATATTGTAGTCTGTTCTAATGGTAAGATTCCTTCTTTATTAGCAGGTGAAATTCGACGTCGTAGGATTGTAGAGGGCAAGGTGAGCGTAATTTGTCGGAAGAACAGGCACCAGATGAAGATGAATGACCCGACGAGAGGCTAGCCAGTTAATTTATGCTTCCACTGAAAACGATGACGGTACACTAAATGCAGTTCCTGCTATACTAGCAGATAAAGAGGTGCTAGTAGTAGGCTGATAGCATAGACACGCTGGATTAGGTCCAATTTTGCTGTTACTGATGGAATGGGAGATAAAGACGACGTGGACAATGAGGATTACGAAGTCGATAGAAGCAACGGTGAAGGTGAAGATGAAGTGCCAACGAGGAGGACGAGGGAGAGAGTCAAGATACGGCTGCGGAGGAGGTCAGGGGACAGGGCAATCGGTTTCCGTATGCCGTCTAGAAGAAGTTGCTCGTGACCCCCCGCGAGAGGCGGTCTGTCTTAACAGTACACGACACGTAGCAAGAGCTTTCGGCATCAGGGGTTATGTATCTGGGGTCTATCAAGCGACAGTTGGGCAGAAGCACCCGTCCTTCATTAGATGCTATTACAGAAAGCTCAACGAGCTGCCCAGCCTATATTGCCTGAGTGATATGCCACGAACATTGCTTTGCTCTCGAAGGCCAGACACTGAACGCGTAGTAGCCAAGATCTAAGTAGAACGATTGGGGGGGGCCGTATCGACGGTCATCCCTCCTACGAGAATAAGACTTTGGGCCGTAAGGGAGGTAGTCGTTAAGTGGCGAATGGCTCCAAAGGGGAGGGGGCTTAGGGAGGCTTAGCTGATACCCTGCACGGATTCAAGTCAACGGCTGAGGGAGCAGGCTCCAAACTCTTCAATAGCATGGTTCGATCACGCATACCGAAAACTGTCCAAGTTAGACCTTCTGAGTACAAAGCAGGATCACATCCGCTCAGAGCCCCTATGACCATCGGCTCATTCTTGGAGTGACATTTCGGAACCACTAGATTCTTCCAGGAAACGCTAAATCTCCAGAAGCCAGCTCGTCACAAGCCAAACCCACTTGGTTCGTTGTCTTTTTCTGGTGGAGGCCCCTGGAGCCACACCCTCACACGCGCTCAGAAGCCACCTAGTACGCATATAGTCAGGCCATTTGAGGAAGGAGGAGGAAAAGAAGAAGAATGACGCTGAGAATTGTTGTCAGGTGTTGAATGGCATGAACTGATGGCTTTCGGTTTGGAAACGGGGGGGGGGGGTTCTGCACCACGTATATTGGACCTCCGGGCAACTTGAACATGTGGGCCAATTTCAAGGGGAGCGACCCTCCCCTGCTTCCCTTGTGTTGTTAATTACAGATTTCACAGCCAAGTGTCGAGGGATCCAGGGCCGGACCGCTTGACCCGGGACCAGTGTACGGATATAGGTACGGATATAGTTGCGGTCAGACGCGCATTTAGATTCCACTGCTCACTTAACTAGGGCATGTCGGAGAATAATCTCCGCCATAGCACTATAATATTATGAAGTCTATACCCCAAATACGTTGATACCAATATTTCACACAGTCTATAGAGCATTCGAGAAGCCTGAGAGGTCCGATATCGCGCGGTCAACGCAGACACGAAGGTACACTATAAGGCGCTCTCGGGTAGGGTCGCACGTAACAATATTAACCATACGGATACACAGCCATAGATAAACAGTAAAAGTTCCATGCTGTGCTCGACACAATGTAGAGTTTTGGAATAAAGAGAAAACAAGAGCGGTGGAATCTTGTGAGTAAACCTCTCTACCTAAGGCAGAGCTTTCGCAGATGACTCTTCTAGTTGCTATATCTAGTGCTGGTGTGACTGTCTTACCATCTGTTCTACACCTCAACAACCACAAACACTAATATATACTATAAGGTGCCCCTTCTCGAGGTCGCACGCGTACATAAGGACAACGCAAACATAGCCCTCCCAGACATGGCAACTGTCGACCTGTATTCATCTCTGCTTGAATTTACGTTAGTTCATCAAATGTCTCTTTGCAGGCCACGTAAAGGGGGTTATCTTACCCCTTACCTTGGACGCTACCCATAAGGTTCTCATCTTCGCAGGGTCTAGCTATGAAGTAGGCGGGGGGCGGTGGTATACGACTGGGATGTAACCCGGCTGGTAGTCCACTGGTTGAAGCAGAGTTTCTGTGGAGGACGAGGCCATCCCTATGGTAGGCATTGACCGCGCAGCATTCTGTACCCAGCCGTACGCTATCTGTGATATCTCGAGATCACGTGTGAGAACCCTATTACCGTAGGCGACTGTGTTGGCACCCGCCGTTGAGGTGTGTCTCTCGTCTTCTCGGGCCATGACCTCGGCGAGTCGACCCCGCGAAGAGGAAAGGGACACATCCTGGGCTAACAGCTTGTCGTCCTGGGCCCTCCTCCGCTGTGACCACTCGCGAAGGCGCACCAATTGATTTTCTGCCTGGTACACATAGTGTCAGCTCGACCCGCACACCTGGCGAATCCCATATTATTCCATCAAGCCACGTACTGCAATGGTGACAGGGACAATGAGAAGGCCGTTTCTGCTCACGTCAAGGCTAATCTCGACTCGACAGGTCGGGCATTGAGCGTAGATCTTGTCGCACGGAGCGTTCGGCACCCCCATCTCTCTAAAATGCGTGCGGATACACTACACAATCATCAGTCAACCGTGCGTTCTCCATCTTCCTCCTGAGAACGCTTACCTGTGTACAATGACTGTGCCCGCAGTGCGTGACGTGCATGCTACACAACGGTTCGTAGCAGATACTACATGTGCTTTCCTGCACCATGTCGTCCAAAATCTTCCGGGCATAGTAGAGTTCCTGTGCCTGGGCCTGGGTCCTGCTCTCGTCGTCGGTACGGTCCTTTGATCTACCACCGGTCCTATTGAGCAGTTCAGAATCTGTCACCGGCGACATGGTCTCAGCTTTGCCACGTTGTCGCGGTTCGTTTAGGGGATGGAGGGGCTGGCTGGTCTGGTTAAGGGGCGCACAGGAGTGCAGATGTCTCAGTTGGTGTTGAAAGCGGCGGATGTCAAGGAAAACTTATGAGAAGAAAATGTGGACAATTTTTTTTCCCCTTTTCATGGAAGAGAAGAGGCCTTGGCAAGTTTATGGAAGAAATATACAAGAATCGTTCAACCGTCGGAGATTGGTTGACGGCGATGCGCGAATTGGGTGAAGAATGCCCATGGCGGTAGTTAGAGTTCGTGACTCTCAAGGTCAGGACACAAATGGTATTAGACAAAAAAGGGCACCCGATGGATACATAAAGTTGAATGTCTGTAATTGTTAATGAAGAAAAAAAAAAAAAAACATGGTAGCCAAGTCTACCTGAGAGGCCCTGCGATGCCATGCTATGCGACTGATACTGAACCCCGGAACGCCATCACCAAATCCTCTTTGCAATCATTTCGTACCGCTGAACTCCGTGGTAGTCTCCGTCTTGCGGCTTTTCCGCCTTTGGGGCCCGTCCCTTGCCGCCCTTTAAGCCCTCCTTTTCATCTGCGTGAATCCACCTGCGCCGGTCATCGGTGACCTCGATCTGGCCGTAGCCGCCGACTCTCTTGCCCGTGGCATCGTAAATATCACGTTCCTCTTGGCCCGTCGCAACCATGTGCTCCTTACGCTTCATCTTGGCGTACCTGTTCCGCGAATACCGCAGCAGAATCATGCCGAGTAGCAGCTTGATGATGAGCAGGACCAGAAAGGCGATGAAGAAGACAACGATCATGGTCACCGCCGCAATCACATCGTCGCTGGTCCAGGTCCACCACGCTCTGCTCTGGACGCTAGGCTCGCCATACGGGTAGCCATACACGGCCCGGCCCAAGGCATCCCGCAACAAAGTATCCAGGCGATCGAGCGCTGCAACCATCACCGGCGATGATGGGGTTGCGGACTCGACAGACAAGGATGTCTGGGTAGACTCCGGAATTGGAGTGGGAATCCGCGTCGACAAAAACATGTGGTAGGTTTGGACCGAAGCTCGGATGAACAAGCAGGACAACGGGATGACGGCCAGTCCAAGCCGGCGCGTCAATGAGGGCGAAACAAAGGCCTGTATCCATTAGCCTGAAGGAAAAGTTTCTCACAAGGCAGGGACTTACGTTGGTGTAGTAGTCCTTGCACAAGATATCTAGAATACGGCTGTAGAAACTCGGTTTGATGTTGTTGAATTTGTTCACGTAGGCATGCTTGATGGTATCAACCAGCATCTCACTGCCAATTACGATGAGAAATGGGGAGAGGACCTCGCCTGACCAGACCCATGATGGGAGGATCGTGAAGCTGAACGGCAGGATTGATGGACTGTGAAGAGGCATGGCCCCTGAACCTCCGAGATCACTGTTCTCAGACCCGGCCCCAGGTACAGAAAGTCCGCCCACCTCCACAATGTTGCGCATGCCAATGATGAAAAGCATAATCCAAAGCTGGAAGCGCTCGACAATGTCCGCACACGTTAGCTGGAACAGATTGTCCTTCTCAAATCGCTTGAAGACTGTGCTCTTGATCTCAACAAATTGGTTGGAAATCATGAGAGTCAGAAGGGCATTGGAATAGGAGTTGACAGCGACGTTGAGGGTGATGACTTGGTAATACAATGCGACAGAATGGATAACGTTGTAAATGAGGGCAAGAACAAACATGCCCAGAGGTAGCAGTACCTTGGAACGGCCAGAGCTGTTCCTAGATAGCGTCTCGGAGCTGAAGAGGCACTCGAAGATGTCTTGCCCAAGAGCCGACAAGAGACGGTCACCAACCTGAGGCACTGAGTCAGCGATATATCCTAACCAAGCCCGGCAATAGTTCGCCTACCTCAAGGACGTTGTAGATGACATAAAGTTTGATGCCATCCTGAGCGCGGATGAAGTGGTACATGCGGCTGGCGTCAAGTTTCATCAGGAACAAGGAGCTGAAGAGGATAACAGCACCCTGCAGCAGGTCCGCCTTGTGGAAAGAAGACAGGTTGGATGGTATCGACTTGGTCCTACGGTGCCGATGCATCCTGTAACTATAGCCATGCGAGGGATGGTGGCCAGCGGATCCATTCATCTTATGAGTGATGTGCCCATTGCCGTTTAGCCTGACCTCCTGTTCGACAACCCTACTGCCGCTCACCTTGGAATCGGGGTCGGGACGAAAGGTCGGGGTGCCACCGGGCGGCGATCTGATATCCGGTGTGGGAATGGATAGTCTCTGCTCGGCCGGTCTGTTTTGACTCCTGTCGCGACTAGCAAGGGAATCGGTGTCTTCCTGCTGTACAGAAGAGGCAGTCTTCGCTCTCGGTCGGCGAGCCCTGGCCCACAGCCTGCCTATCCCGTACCAGACAAAGCCAATCATCCACTGCGCCTCCTTCACCGCCATGTACCCCCACCATTTGAACAGGACTCCAAGGGCGATGCAGAATCTCATTGGCAGAATGGTGAAGTTGTATAGCCAGGCATCGAGACAGGCCAGGGCGCCAAAGTAGAGGGTCCTCTCGAGGAAGGACGGGAGCAAGAGGACATTCTTCAGCCTCTCCCACTTGACAACATAAGACTCGTATGGAATATCATTCGTATGCGAATGATGTATGTACAGGGGACTCGGTCGTTGGGCGGCCAGTTCTAGCTGGAGGTGGGTTGGTATAGACATGGGCGGGAGGGGTATCGACGGAGGGAGAGGTGAGGGTGGGATGGGTTCATTTCTGTGTGACTTGGCCGGCGGCAGTACGTGGATCTGGGGCGGTTTGTTCTGGATCGGCGGCTGGAGGTTGATGGCGTTGAAATGACTCGTTCCATCGAGATTCAGTGGCGGTGGCCGAGCAACGGTGTAGAAGGAATTCCGGCGGGGCGAGGTAGTCTGCGACTGCGACTGCCGGCGGGTTGTTGGGGGTGTCGAGAGCGTTCTGCCGGAAACAGGCCTCCGAGGCTCATCCCTATACCGAGCTCTGTTCCCACCGTCAGTCACGAGACCGTTGGGTCGCAGAGAGGCCGGTTGGCTGAGGATCGACTGCCGAATCTCTTGGAGCTGGTCTGCGATGGGCGGGTGCGGTCGCTGTTCTTGTTCGCCAGAAGCCTGTTCGGGAACAATGGCCACAGGGAGAGCCTCGGGGGCGGTGAGCTGCTGCATCCCTGCGACAGATAGCCTCCTAATGTTATCATGGCTCTGATTTTTCTTCACGGATGCGGAATTTGATCCGGACCGGGCCCTCATCTTTGATGTCACGTCCTCCTTGTGCGTAGTCTCGTGCTTCTCGGGGACGGTGACAGGCCCGGATGTGGATGACGAATTGGAGGAATCCTGTTTTTCGGGCTTGCTGTGCGTCGATGAGGCATCAGAGGATTGGTCTTCGTCGGAGTGACCGCCGGGTATGGAAGGGAGAGTGGAAGTAGGGGGCGCGCTCGCGGAGACACTGGGCCGCGGAGGGAGAGGAATGTGCGACAGTTTGATGTCGGGTTTGGCGACATCTAGACCAGCACCGCCGCACGCCGGGCTGCCGTCGAGAATGTATGTCGGTAAGGGTGGGAATGCCTCGACCGGCTCGTGAGGCATGGCAGCCGGGTTTTCAGAAGCTCCATGATTATCGTCAGCCTCTCGGTCTTTGCGGTGTTCGCTCTCCGCCATTCGCAAGCCCTTTCACTGTCTTTGCTGGAGAAGAGATATCGGCGCCATCCGCATATGCTCGCAGGTTCGATCGACGTAGGCGCAGAGGGGTCCGTCGGGGCACACACACACGGAAAGAAAGAAGAAAGAGAAATAAAAAGGGCGGCGGATGCTTCGGTAGAGTTGGACTGCGGTGTGTCCTGTCGCGCGGTCCAAATAATCAAGCTTGCATTGCAGTCTGCAGTTCTTCAGGTGCAGAGGTCGCTTGGCGAGCGACCGATCATCAGGAACAATTTGGATTGGTGGCTGGATAAGGAAACCTGGCAGCTGCACAGCGCGGCAAAAGGGCCAAATGGGAACGACGGTAGGGACGCTATCTTGGGTCTGGCTGGGGTCGAACGGTGTGGGAAAGTGACGTATTGGACCGGGCCGTGCGCTGACTGCCGACTCGTGGTGTCTACTGTACCTACTTACCCACTACCGGTAAGTAAGAGCAACAGAGACATTCATTGTTGGACAGCCGAACAATGGAAATGCACAGAAGCTACCTAGGTACCTACCTGCCTTAAGTGGCTACCTATCTACCTACCTACAGTGCCAGGTCATTAATCTGGTCACACCAGAATATCTAGCCAATTAATACATCAGGATTCCTCCGCCAGGCCCACTTTCCCTTCTGCCTAAGGTTACCACATGTTAGTCTGAATGCATCGCGACAAGAGCTTCAGAGGCAATTAATTGAGGTATATAGGGCTCTACCTCCAATACTTACCTGGAGGTTAATAGACTCCATCCAAGATAGGATTACTGAATGTATTAAAGTACGTGGCTGGTATACACGATATTAGAAACATCTATTTTGGCTGGAGTTTACACTATAATAATATGACTACGGTTTTACGTAGCCTTGTAAAATGTGGGGTAGACATCATGTGACCCTTAATAGTGTGACCAGATTAATGACCTGGTACTGTAGGTAAGCAGGTAAGGTATAGTGGTTTCATTCAATCTGATCGAGGGAGGAAATTACGTTCGCCTGACGGGAGCTTCTGTCCGTGTTTGTGTATTTATTTGTCCTTGTTCTTGCAGGAGCGTAGCACACCCGTCTTTCCACACACGTCTCTGGGCCACATGCCCTTGTCGATAATGTGTCGCAGTCCACGGGATTGCGGGATTGCGGAATTGCAACTCTTACCAAGGTTGCCTGGGTTCGTTGGTTCAAAGGCGCTGGCGCCGGATGAAACGCGGCATCGTAATTCTGTCCTCGTCATGGTTTTCCACTTTACAGACCATCACAAAGGTCAAGTTATTCACAAGCCCTAGCACTTGTA